TATTCCAGGTGCCTCATACGAATGCAGTTCTATGGAATTTGTCTGTGCATGAGTGCCTGTCTCCCACCCCTTCCCCCCTTTTTAACGTCGGGCATTGAACCCAGGGCCTAGCATGTGTTCGGCAGGTTATATGAGAATTTCTTTATAGCTAAAGATCCTTTTATTGTATGGATAGTCCATATTTTCTTGATCCAGCCATCGGCTGATGGACATGTAAGCTGTTTCTCTTGGACAGCTGGGGTTGATGGTTTCTAATTCATTCACGAAATTTTAGCTCCCCGCATTTCTTCCTGCTGCTTAAACTTGTCAGGCTGGTCTCTGCCTCAGCATCTTTATTGCGTTCCTGGATCTTATTGGGGCTTACTGGTGGACTCATCCTTGCAACTCAGATATCGAACCCTCAGAGAAACGTCCCTGGTCATGGTATCAAAAGTACCTGAACTTCCAGTACTTTCTATTCAGTACTCTGTTGTAGTGTCTCCATAGTACATCTCAGTACCAGAAATGAAGAAGTATTTGGACAATGGGCACCTGTAGTACTGGGCTGTGTTCCCTGGCCTCATTCTCAAAATAACCTTTGAATGCCTAAAATGTACCAGTTGTATTAAAAGTACAGTTGTCAAAAATATTTTTAAGCTATGATTTAGTAACCCATACGCTTATCTGTTAAGCCCTTAAATAATAGTATCTATTTGTAGGCTTCATAATTACCAGAATATAGAAGCTCTGATGGATGTAGATGCTATTTTGACAGATGTGCACCCACTGGACTAGGAAAGGAAAATATGAGTGATTTCTACTGGACAGAAAAATCACAGGTGCTGCAACAGCGCTATAGGTTATTACCTTGGTTTAAAACTGCAGAAACTGCCAAAGTTCAGTTTGAGATGTATTTTGTTTCTATTCAAGTTTAGGAATTCTCTAAATTCTATCCAGAGGCTCCTTGGAGGTCTGTGAACTCCATGTTTAGAATTGTATGGGTAGGGCTGGAGATATGGTTCAGCAGTTCAGAGCATTGTTTGCTCTTGCAGAGGGCCCAAGTTCAGTTCCCAGCATCCACATGAGCCCTTACAACTATCTGTAGCTTCAGTCCCAGGGAATCTATCACCCTCTCTGGTCTCCCTGGAATCAAGACATGCATGCGGTGCATAGACATGCAGGCAGACAAAACACTTATGCGCGTTAGAAAAGAATAAGTCCATGTATGGTCTGAAAAAGTCTTGAACTTGTTGCCTTAAAAGGGAAAAGGTTAACTGTAGTGATGAAAGAAGAAAGTGCTAGAAGAAAGCTGTCTTCTCTACCCCTCCATGGAACTAGGGTGTGGGTCATAGAGAAACGTCCTCTTGGGAGGGGCACGAGAAAAGCAGTGCCTTGAACTAAAAAAGAAACAGCCTTGCAGTTGCATACAGAAGTAAGGGTTTTCTTTACCCCAGAGTGGTGTTCAGTAAGGATAGCAACACGTAGAGAAGAGATGGCTGCTGTGGGAAGATCAGCCATGGGGGCAAAGGTGACAGAACTCAGAGCCGTAGGTGGAGTCCTTACTGTATGCCAGACAGCAGACCAGACACTGGCGAAACAAAGCTGCCTGACACAAGGATGAGTCACCCTTCTTTCAGAGCCCAGATCCTGGTGGCCGATTGGCTGGTTTGGCTGGTCTGATCTATGCACCTCTTCACAGCCTCCGAGAGCCAGGGGCAGTGGGAATAAGATGAACACAGCGTTTCAGAGATTGAAGAGGAAGAAAGCTGAGAAAAATCGGCCCTTCTGTCTCCCCCACTCCTTTGTGTGAAGCAAAAACTGAAATAAAAAGAAGTTATGTAATAGAGGAAAGCAAAGCCATGCCCTGATCATATAATTCAAAGCAGCTACCCATCTAACAATTAGCTCCATCTGAGGGATGTGCCCTCTATTCTCACTATGAATTCTTCAGGAACCTTCTATGACTCTTTGCTGCCAAGAGATCATTTGTGCTTCAAAAACAGTCTTGACTGAGGGGTGGGATCAAAGGAAGAGAGAAAGAACAATATTTTTAGATTTTTTTTTCCTTTGGGGTGCCAGAGATACCCTGCACCTGGGTCTCCTCAGGAAGGCAGCTCTCCGGATGCAGGATTCTGTGATTCTTTTTTTAAATGCTGTTTTTCTCCCCTTTCCTAGGGGGGCTCTTTCACAAAGGCTCAGATTGGGAGCTGTTGCAGGTGGGAGGTGTCGGCTGGTCTCATACCTTCCTTTGATCATGTTCTCTTGTGGCAGTGGGATCTGAAAACTCCCTGCCCTGGGCTGAGGTAATGAACCTCTTCTTCCCTGAAGGGAGGCAGCATCTCCAGTGGAGAGGCAGCGTGCAAGCTGAGGAGAGGAGGAGAGAGGTAGGGCTGGAACTGAGCTGACCTAGTTAGAGCAGAAAGATGGAGATGCGGTCAAGGGTGAGGCTGAGCAAGTGGGCTGGCTCACTGGGTTAAGATGCTTGCCACCAAGCTGATGGCCTGAGTTCTTCCACCCCTGGATCGCTCGGGGTGAAAGGAGGAAACTGACTCACACAAACTATCCTCTGACTTCCACACTTATGCCACACACCTACACAATAAATAAGTGTATTTAAGAAAAAGAAAGAAAGGGGCTGGAGAGATGGCTCAGAGGTTAAGAGAACTGACTGATGTTCCAGAGGTCCTGAGTTCAATTCCCAGCAACCACATGATGACATACACCCATCTATAATGATATCTGGTGCCCAGAACACTATATACATAATAAATATTTTTTAAAAAAAAAAAGAAAAAAGAAAGAAAGAATGTTGGGGCAATTGGGGTGCCCTCAGTGCAGATAGGGCTGGAAGAAAGAAATTTCCAGAAAGGCCCAGGACAGGGAGGAGGATTGGGCTGATTATTCTTTTCTGAAGTCTCAAAAACTTACCATATATTAATGATATGTGATAATGACTTTTGTTATGAGACTTTTGTGCGTGTACATAGTGTATTCTTTAGTATATTCGCTCACATTGCCCTCTTTTGTCCGCTCCCACTGATCTCCTTCCCCTTCCCTAGTAACCCCTTTTTCACTTTTATCTTTGTAAATAGAGGTATTCAATAAATACACTTTTTATTTATTTGTGTGTGTGTGCATGTGTGCAAATGCACTAGCATGTGTGTGTATGTATACCACAGTGTATGTATAAAGGTCAGAGGGCAACTTCAAAAGCTAGTTTTCTCCTTCTATCATGTGGGCTCTGGGAATCAAACTCAGGTCCTCAGGCTTGATGGCAGGTACCCTTAACCACTGAACCATCTCACCAACACCCCTTTTTATGCCCTTGTGTTTATGAGCAAACCAGCAAGTTGAATTAGGGTTACTTATAGGAACATGGATAAGGGATTAGTTACAGAAGTTACTGGCAACTCACCAGTAGCTACACTATTGAAGAAAACTTCTCTCCCTCCTTTGGCAACTGCTAACTGCCTATAGACCTTCAACTCACAATTGTTTAGGAGACCATGCTGAATCAGGTGTGGTGGTACACATATTTAATTCTAGTACCCAGGAAGCAGAGGTGGAAGGTTCATGGATTTGAGGCCAGCCTGAATAACATGAGGTTATTGTCTTAGTTAGGGTTTTATTGCTGTGAAGAGACACCATGACAAGGACAGCTCTTATGAATGAAAACATTTAATAGCCCACAGGTTCAGTCCTTTATCATCATGGCGGGACATGGTGGCATGCAGGCAGACATGGGCTAGAGAAAGAGCTAAGAGTCCTGCATCTTGACTCACAAGCAACAGGGAGTGGTCTGATTCACTGTGTGTGACCTAAGCATAAACGAGACCTCAAATCCCACCCCTCCAGTGGCACACTTCATCCAACAAGACCACACCTACTCCAACAAGGCCACACCTACTCCAACAAGGCCACACCTGCTAACAGTGCCACTCCTTTCGGGGGCCATTTTCTTTCTGAGCACCACTGCTATGTAGCAAGATATTGTCTCAAAAAAGAAACAAATAGAGCTGTGTACGGTGGTGCACACCTTTAATCCCGGCACTGGGGAGCAGAGGAAGTCAGAGCTGTGCATGGTGGCGCACACCTTTAATCCTGGCACTGGGGAGCAGAGGCAAACAGATCTCTGTGAGTTCAAGGCCTGGAATACATAACAAGTTCCAGACCAGACAAGGCTATAATGAGATCCTATCTCAAAAACAAACCAACAAATAAATAAATAAATGTCTTGTTGAGTCAAGAAGACTGCCAAGGGGAGCTTTGCATGGATTCTCAGTGAGCTGAGGTTCCTATGTAGATGATGGGGGAAGTATCTTTAACAAATTTTCTCTGGATGCTTAGATCAGAAGTGGAAACATATGTGACTATCGAGGTTGTTAATTGGGATGCGTCACACATTGCCAAGAATGAGCAAAGATCCCACAGCACTGTGACAGAATCCCCCAGGGTGGGTCACAGAGAGGTCTTGTGTCCAGAGCTCCAAAGCCAAGGCAGGGTGTGGGGAGCTGCAGGAAGCATCTAATGGGCTTAGATCAAGGGTCCAACTACAGACCCCACCAGAGATTGCCTCGAGGCTGCTGGAAGATAGAGGTGTTCTCTTCCCAGGTCCTGTCCTTCAGGAAGACACCACGAATCTAAGAGAACATTGATAACTGCGAAGCAGCAGCAAACATTCCAATACCATATAGAGCTTTTTTTTTAAAACACTGCTCAGTCATGGAAGGGATTTGGGGCATAAGAAGAGAAGGCTCTTGGAAGAAGATAGGCATTAAACTGAGCTGTGAGGTGTGCAGAGGAAGGATGGGGATGTGGAGATTAATGGGCATTCCACAGTGAAGAAATAAATTGGGTTCACATGTGGACCAAGAAGACAGTCAAAGCTGTCAGTGTAAGACCCCACCCAGAAGACACGGAGAAACCCAACTAGATGGGGGAGGTCACATTGCGCTTCTAACTGGGATTGACTATGTCAAAAAACCAAGCACTTGACGCCATTTCTCTCCTCTCCTCTCTAGCTATAAGCCTATAGTGGAATTCATAGATGCTCAGTTTGAGGCCTACCTGCAGGAGGAGCTGAAGATCCGGAGAGTACTACACACCTACCATGACTCCCGAATCCATGTCTGCTTGTACTTCATTGCCCCCACAGGACATTCGCTTAAGTCTCTGGACCTAGTAACCATGAAGAAGCTGGATAGTAAGGTATGAGGCAGGAGCTGGGGCTGAGCAAGCTGAACTCTTACTGATCTGATATATAAGGGATGCTGGATTCCAGCAGAGGTTTTGTGGCGTCCTAATCCCACCCTCTGTTCCCTTCCCCCATAAGGATTGGTGTTACAGATCGTGCATTTGGGTTATATGCTTTGCCATCGGGATTCCTAGTATTAGGAATGGCTTTGTCCTGAGTGTCTTGACAATAAGAACGAACACAAGCAAGATGGCTGTTCAAGTTTAAGGGTACTGGTTTTGGCAATGGAATACAGTATTATTCTTTAATTCTTTTAGATTCATTTTATTTGATATTTTCAAGTATTTTACTGCATGTATGTTTATCTGTACACCACTTGTATGCGTGGTGCTGAAGGAGCTCAGAAGAGGATGTTGGATTCCCTTGAACTGGAGTTAGGGATGGCTGCAAGCTACTAAGTGGGGGCTGGAAACCAAACCTAGGTCTTCTGCAAGACATTGGCTTAATGCTATAAACTGCTATCTCTCCAGCCAAGGCCCTAGTTTTGATTCCTAGCACCATAAAAATAAAACAAATTGAACATCAGATTCTTTCAAAAGCCTAATTACTACAAGTTTCTTGCCCTAACATTTGGCATGTGCCAGATACTATGTACTTATATATGTTATTTCATCTTTTCTTCTTTTCCATTTGTATATGTGTGTATTCATGTTTGCATGTATGCACACATGTATGTATGTGCATGTGCATATGGATGCTATATGGAGACCGAAGGTTGATGTCAGAATCATCCGTCATTGATCTTCTACGTTATTCACGGAGGCAGAATCTCTCAGCCAAACCAGAATTCAGATATATGGCTGGTCTTGCTAACTGCTTTGCTTGCTCTGCCTTCTGAGGCTGGATTATGAGCAGACTGAATGCTCGCAGGTTCAGGGGATCCAAGCTCTGGTCCTCATGCTTGTGCAGCAAGAGCTTAGTCACTTGGACCCTGTTTTTTTGTTATTGTTGCTTGTTTGTTTTTATTTTTAACAAAAGATGCTTGTATTGTATTTTGTTTAAATTTTTAAATTTTATTTATTTTTAATCAAAACTTTTTCATACAATGTATTCTGATCATGCTTTTCCTCTCACACAACTCCTCCCAAATCCTCCCCACCTTTCCACCCACCCACCTCCATATCTTTTATCTCTCTCTCATTAAAAATCAAAAACAATAACCCCCCAAAAACCACACAAAAAGAAACTTCACAAAGACAGAAACCAAATATATAAGTACAAGACCAGTAAGGCAAAAGAAAAGAAAAGAAAGAGGATGAAAGAAAGAAAAGGAAAGAAAAAGAAAAAGAGAAAAGCCCAAACAAAGCAGTATGAGACAAAAAGTCTACAAGACCATCATTGAGTTCACTGTGTGTTGACCATCTACTGCTGGCCATGGGTTAATGTACTCAGTAAGACTCCATTGGGGAAAAAGTAATCTTTTCTTTGCAAGTAGGTTTCAATTACAGATAGCTTCATGGTTAGAGACAGAGCCTGTGTTTACTTCCCCTCTCTCAGCAAGGGGATCCTGTCTGGCTTGAACCTGTGCTGCTACAGTCTCTGTGAGTTAACATGTGTAGCAGTCCCATTGTCTGGAAGACACTGTTTCCTTGGTGTCACCCGTCACCTCTGGCTCTTCAGTTTTTCTACCCTCTCTTCCACATAGATCCCTGAGCTCTGAGGAGGAGGATCCTATTTAGGACTGAGTGCCAAAGTCCCACTTTCTACACATTGTCCTGTTGTGGGTCTCTGTGTTAGTTCCTGTCTATTGCAAGAAGAAGCTTCTCTGATGGTGGCTGAGCAAGGCACTGATCTGTGGGTATAGCAGAATGTTGTCAAGAGTCATTTTATTGCCATGTTCATTTAGCACAACTGTAGTATATAGTTTTCCCCTAGGCCCATGACCTATCCAGTCTCAGGTCTAGCAGTGTCAGGCATGAATTCTGTCTCATGGAGTGGGCCTTAAATCCAATTAGACAGTGGTTGGTTACCTCCACAACAGTTATGCCACTGTTGCACCAGCATATCACATTGGCAGGCAGCATTGTAGTGTGCAGGGTTTGTAGCTGGCTGGGTGGTGGTTGCCTTTCTCCTTTGGTAGTGTGCAAAGTGCATTCCAATAGCATGAACACTAGTAGTAGGGGTGAAGGCTCTAGTTAGGCACCAGCTCAACTTCTACATATTGATGAGGTACCTAAGTGTTGTCTTCAGCAACAGGGACTGGGCCCTATTTTGCCCTTCTAATAATCTAGTAGTATATTTAAGTACTGTTACTTAAATTTTACATAGTACTGTTAGTTACATATGAGGTCACTGAGGCACAGAGAGGCAAGTACCTTGCTCAAGGTCAGACAACTTGTCATGGAGTTGAGATTTGCCTTTAGTTCTAACTGCAAGTTATTTTAGTATACAAAATTCTAATTTACATGTAGTCATTTGGTAGCATAGCCACTATAAGAACTGAATGTCAGCTATAATCAGAATAAGAGCAGGGTTTTTTTTCCATTTTTGCAGCAATGAGCTCACTACTCATGAATAATAGGCTGTTCCTGAAATGTCTCCATGCCCAGCATGGCCCCGTATAGGGCGGCAGTGAGCCAGGTGGCAGGCTGTTTGCTGGGTAGGGTGCATTAAGTAAGCAGTTTTTGGTTTATGTTTCTTGTGGACTAATGAGGACTAGGCAAAAAAATAATAATAACAAGGAGGCTTGGATTTGCCTGCTCTTCCATCTTGGCAAAGATTTGGATCTCTTGACCCCAAAGACTGCAAGAGAGATAACTACAAGGTCTGGTCTTTGACTCGCATCCCAAGCTTTGTGAGATATATCTTCAGGGGTCTTCAAAAGCACAAAAGATACAGGTCGTCTTCAGTTCTAGAGCCCCCACACGCTCCTTTCAGAGTCTAGGGCCTGGGAAACACTCATGCTGCCCCAGTGGGGTCTGCAAGCAGGAACAACTCCATTTTCTTCAGGAACCTGAGCTTAGTGCACTCAGTCTCCCAAAGCCACACGCATGTCAGATTTCTTTACTGTTGGCAATAAAAGCTTTCCTTCTTTCTGGAGGGATTTCAAGGGTCAAGGTTCAGGTGAGTTGAACTTTTGGGGTGGCACTAGGCCTTTCTCTTGCTATCTGAAATTAGGCCTTCATACCTACTTTCTTTACTCAGAAATAAATCCTATAACGCAAGCATTGTAACTTAAGGTGGTCGGGGATGGTAAAACAGGATCTAGTGTAGTTTAAGCTACCCTCAAACACAACAAGTAGTGAAAGATGGCCTTGGACTGATCCTTCCACCTCCACCTCTCCAGTACTGGTATTACAGGTGGAGCTGAAGATGGAGCTGAGGGCGCATGCTAAGCGAGCATCCCACCAACCGAGCTCATGCCCAGCCCAGTCTAACGTTTCTGCATAGGTCTCATGTCAGATTCGTAATACTGGGTCTTTTGTGCCTACCTGGCTACTGCAGGAGAGCCACATGTTCATCCTCATCAAGTTCTGCCCCCGCTTCCTTTTCCTGACCTCCCACGTGGATCCATGGTATATCTGGCTGGGGAAAGCCTAGGTTGGACAGGTTGGGACAGCTTATCGTTGTCAACAAATGGCTACCTGTCACATTGTCAACCACAAATTCCCTGTCGTCTTTCTTCTTTGAAACACCGGGGCAGTGACCTTGATTCCAAGACATCACACAGCTCACCAACTTCGGTCTGAACTGATAGACAGTTCATAGTTGCTACCAGCTTTGGGACTAAGGCTGAGTTTGATTTGAATTTCAGTTCTGCTACTTATTTGCCCTGTGGCCTTAGGCAAGTTATTTAATCTCTGTTCGGTTCAGCTTCACTTTGGTAAAACACTAGCGGTAATGCCTTCTGGGAAAGTTGTTGGGATTAATTTTGCTACGCCATTCATAGGGTACTTAGCTTTGTGGCCAGCACATAGTAGGTACTCGTCATTGTTATTTGCTATTTGGCTAAAGGTGAGCAGTGCCAGACCTATTCACTGAGTTAGCTACCCGCTTTGGGAGCTGGTGGGAGCCCTAGGCTGTGGAGTTGTCAGTTGCTAGTTAAGGACAACTGATCCCACTTCGTTCCTCCTTCTCCTAGGTGAATATCATCCCCATCATTGCCAAGTCAGATGCCATCTCTAAGAGTGAGCTGACGAAGTTCAAGATCAAAATCACCAGTGAACTTGTGAGCAATGGAGTCCAGATCTACCAGTTCCCCACGGATGATGAGTCGGTGGCTGAGATCAACGGAACCATGAATGTGAGTGGGGGCACAGGGTTCGACTTTCCAGACGTGTGTTCTTATGAGCAGCCTTTGGCAGGTAGCAGTGAAATACCTTCATCAGCCGTCTTTGTGTTGATCTTACCTCTTGAGTGCCTGAGACTCAGGTATTGGGGACAGAGGACCCAGAACCTAACTAGTTCCTGTTTCTAGTGATGGCTGCTGTGACATCTCGGTCGCAAGAGATTAGTAACCAGGGGAAGAGCAAGGCTGACATGAGGTTGCATGTGGAGTGGGAATTCAGGCCTCTCTTGCTCCTCGTTTTTGGCTCCTGTGCGTGTTCATATGTGTGTACAGGTGTGTGTTCATGTTTGTGATGACCAGAGTTGGATGGGTGTCTCCCCTGATCACTCTCCATGGTGTTTTCTGTGGTAGGGTCTCTTGCTGAAACCGAAGCTCACCAATATGTCCTAGTCTAGCTGGCCAGCTTGCCCAGGGGTCCCGTTTTCTCCATCTCTGCCTTCTAAGTCCTAGGATTACAGGTAGCTGCTGTGGCTGGCCGCCTTCCCTGTGAGTGCTGAGGGGCTGAGCTCAAATCCTCGAGATTACCAGGCAGGTACTCTATCCACTGTGCCATCCCTCCAGCCCCCAAACTGCCTTCTTAGTACCCCTCAGATTTAGGCCAGGCAATCTTCCAGACTGAACTGCAAGAAAGGAAAACTATGTTTGTCTCTGACCACAATGATGCCAGCACAGTAGGTACAGCAAAAGCTGTGAAGGCCAAAAAACCTGCTTGGCCTCAGAGGCACAGGGATGGGCTGTTGGCCAAGAATTGAGCCCTATTGTCATGAACCGAACAATGAGAAATAGTCTCCAATTTTCTGGCAACCACAGTGATTTTTTTCTAGGATCTTAGGCTGGAACACGGTGATTTTTTTTTTAAAGATTTTATTTATTTTTATTTTATGTATGTGAGTGTTTTGTCTGCACGTATGTAAGAGTACCATGTGTGTAGTCTCCATGGAAGCCAGAAGATGGCATTGGATCACCTGGGACTCAAGTTATAGATGGTGGGGAGATGTCTTGTGGGTGCTCAGAATCAAATCCAGCTCCTCTGCAAGAGCAGCCAGGGCTCGCAAACACTGAGCCATCTCTCCAGCCCCTGTGATGTTATTTTGAAGCCCCAGGGTTATGCTTTGCCTTATTAAGTGTGAATGAATTTACAGAAAGAGTCCTCTTTTCTCTCCTCCCCACCTCCCCCACTAGAGGAATGAGTAAGAGAGAAGGCCGAGAGTCAAACACTCGCGGGCTGCTTTGCAGTGTGTTGCTGCTGTTGCCGTGAAAGCTTCAATGTTGTGATTTCTAGGAGACAGCTGATGGCTTTCAGCAAGCCTCTGCTTCAGGAACAGATTCCTTTTTCTCTATTGAGAGGCATCAGTTTTTCCTAATGACATAATGTCAGGGGACAGCCAAACTCAGGCAAGCCTTGTAATAAGAGCCATTTTTAGCAAACTTTTCCTGCTGCTGGTGCCCTCTAAGTTATCATTACAGCATCAGCTGCCACCTCCTGTGAACTGGCCAACAAATCAGCATAGTTAGGCAGCAAGGCACCGTCTCGCCTGACGTCCTGCCCATCAGCACAGCCCACCCTAGGTGGGTTTATGAGTAGAAGCCCTTCATCTGCCTTGACAAGTCTGGCTCAAGTCTGTGTGCCGGGAGGTAGGTAGAGTTGTGTTCTTTGTGACCTAGTGTGGGTGTGGACAAAGATTAAAAACAAAACAAAACAAAATACTGCTGTCCTCTCCAGGAGTCAGGGCATTTGGATGGAAATGAAGGTCTGTTGTGATAAGAAAACTGGATAAGGTGCCCAGCCTGTAGCGAAACAGGAAGTGCTTTCTGGGTGTTGCTTGCACTGATGTCTGGAAGCATCTAGTCACCTCAGGGACCTCAGTCCTATAGATAGCTTCCAGGCTCATTCTCTGAGTCAGCAAGCAGAGTTCAGCCTCATAGTTTGCTTTGCTACAAACAAAGAGGAATAAGTTTTCCCGCAACGCGAAGGTGTCCCACCAAGCTCTGTCACTACATGATGGCTTAGAAGTGGCAATCTCCCTTTCTCTGTTCTCAGCTCAACTCCGGTCTCCTGTTGAGCCAAGAGCAGATTCAACCTCAGAGTTCCCTTCTCCACCATGCTGCTGTGGCAGCCAAGAGAGTGCAGGGCCCTATCTTATGTGTAACAGCCCAGAGTTTTCCCTTGTTTCACTTTGAACAACTAAATTAAAAACTAGTTGTGGTAGCGCATGCCTGTCATCCCAGCACTGAAGCAGGAGGATGACATGTTTTATTCTGGCCTGGGTTATACATATAACCTGCCTCCAAAAGAAAAAGAGAAGTAAGCTAAGTCTGATGAGTTCAGGGTCATCCCTCTAAGTAGCGTCGCTCAGAATTCACCCCCTTGCATGCCATCATGCTCTTTTGAATGGGAAGGGAAGAGAAGGGGTACCCTACAGCCAGGATGCCTGGACTTGGGCATGTCTGCGAGAGGGGCCTGTATGGGAAGCTTCTGTGTCCCAGATGATGAATTGGGAAGCAGGAGGGAGGAGTCACCGCTATAATAAACACAAAAGTGCTTTGCCCACTTGCCAACATTACAATTGTGTCAGAGTCTCCAGAGAAACCATGGTTTATGCACTGGTATCAACAGAGATGGAGAGGGCGTGCTTGGGTGCTATGAGGTCTGGGTGCTGGCCTTTCCATTCTAGATATGGTTCCAGGTCCCCAGTTCCTGCCCACTGCACAGTCTGTTGTCATGGGAAATAGAAGAGGCTGAAGTGTTTTGTTTTGTTTTTTTAAGCTAGTTAGAGAAGACTGTGCAGCTGCTCTCTCATTCCCAAGTTAGAGATATTCATGGGTGCACATGCCCAGCCTCACCCTCAGCTTTTGGGTGACTCTGGAAAACTTTATTTCAGATTGTGGAGGCAGGAGATGGGGGAGTTGGGGGAGAGGGAGAGAGTTCATTGGATGCTATTTTCAACCCCTACTGGGATTCCTCTCAAAGCTGTAGGCTTTAAATCTCAGAATTGCCACACTGTTTTAAGTTAATTCATTCTTTTGAGACAGGGTCTCACTAGGTAGCCCAGACTGTCCTTAAACTTGTGACCTTCTTGTCTCAGCTTCCTAATTGCTGGCATTATAGAACGGAGTCAACATGCCCAGCTTATTGTTTAGATGCGGTGCTGCTGCTCTGGCATAACGACACACTAGAATCTCAACACTTGGGAGGTAAAAGCAGGTGGATCAGAAGTTTAAGGTTATCCTCAGCCACACAGAGAGCTGAAAGATAGCCTGAACTACATGAGACCCTGTGTAAAAAAATACAACAAAAATGTAATGCTATTGTTTTTTTTAAAGATTTATTTATTTATTACGTATACAGTGTTCTGTCTGCATTATGACTCCAGACCAGAAGAGGGCGCCATATCTCATTACAGATGGTTGTGAGCCACCATGTGGTTGCTGGGAATTGAACTCAGGACCTCTGGAAAAGCAGTCAGTGCTCTTAGCCTCTGAGCCATCTCTCCAGCCCTTAATGCTATTCTTAGGATAGCTCAAATTATAGCCAGGGATTAAAAAACAGGCCCAGTTACATGACTAAGCTCAGTTAGTTGGCTGCTTTGTTAGGCACTGGGTTTGATTCCCACAAATTGTATTTGTACCACTAAGAGCACATGGTTGACAAACTGGATCATAGGGAGGCCCATAGGCCCTGGTGTGTCCTTTCCCTCCACAATGCAATGGTGTCTCTATTGTACCCATGGACTTCTGTTGGAATGACCAACGTGCTTGAGTGAATTAGGTGACAGTCTTGTTTAGTTACCAGTGGGAGTCTGAAATGGGAGCAAGGAGAAAGAGCCCCATGACTGGTAGGCACTGTCTACCCTGGGAAGAAACCAAGGCTAGTTAGTATACCCCACCAGACCAGATCCTGATGGAACCTCACAACCTAAAAACAAAAGCAGAAAGCATTCTTCTGGTCTTCAAAGCATAACATGTGTCCTGACACTTGGATCATCAGATAACTTTCAAATGGACCCGGGGAGGTTTAAGGTAGACATGAAACCGGAGAAGTAGTTGCTGTGATGGGAAAGTATTGTGTTGTGTGATGGTTTACTCTTTTGCCTTTTGGGGGGGGGCAACACCTGGCTCCCAAATAAATCACACATGGAAGCTTATTCTTAGTTAGGAATGCCTGGCCTTGGCTTGTTTCTTTCCAGCTTTTCTGACAGATTATCCTGACTACCTTTCGCCGCTAGGCTTTTATCTTTCTCTATTTTTGTATACCCTTCTTTATTTCTTTCTCCATGGCCCTCTGGGTAGCTGGCCCCGATGCCCTCCTCTCCTTGTCCTCTTGCTTCTCTTCTTCCTTGTTTCTCCTTCTATTAATTCCCTCAGCCTACCAGCCCTGCCAATCCTTGCTTCCTGCCTTGCGATTGACTGTTCAGCTTTTTCTTAGGACCAGCAGGCATTTTAGACAGGCAAAGAACCACAGCTTCACAGAGTTAAACAAATTCAGCAGAAACAAAAGTCACGCACCTTAAACTAATATTCCTCAACAGTATTGCCCATGTGATAGTATTTGGAGATGGATCCTTGCAAGATCTGGTGAGGCAAGCCTATAATCACAGCTACCCTGAAGGTTGCAGCAAGTTTAAGATCTGCTTGGACTACAGGGTGAGTTCAGGGACAAGCCTGGGCAACTTAGAGAGACCCTGTCTCGACATAAAAATGAAAAAAAAAAAAAAAGGCTGGAGATATATGTAACTCAGTGGCAGAGCGTGTGCCTGACATATGCAAAGCCTCTAGTTCAATTCCTAGGACTGATTTTTAGAGAGAAGAGAGGGGCTGGAGAGATGGCTCAAAAGTTAAGAGCGATACTACTCTTCCAGAGAACCTTAGGGCCCATGTGGTGACTCACAACCTCTTGTAAGTCCAGCCCCAGAAGGTCCAACCCTTTCTTCTGGCCTCTGTAGGCCCCTGCACTCACAGGCACATGCCCACATACAGATATGCACATGAACAATTCAAAATCAACCTCTTTTCAGAAGAGAGATTGGGCCTTTAGCGGTTAGTTAGGCCATAAGGGCTGCTCCCTCACTAATGAGATTAAGGGCCTTTATACGAGAGACTTATGTGTAGAATTTAGCTAGCTTGTATACCTTCTGCAATGGGACGATGTAACAAGAAGACCCTCATCAGACACCCAAAGGTGCTACTACTTTGAGCTTAAATGGCCAGCCTCTAGAACTATGGAAAGTCTATTTATGTCTGTAGACATTACTTAGTCTCAAGTATTTTGTTGTAGCTGTACAAAATGGATGAAGTTGTGACTCTAGGGCCAGACACCCAAGACAAGCTATGTATTTTGATAGCATTCTGCGTCTGGGAGACTTCATATCTTGGTGTCCCTCATCATAGGCTTAGGCAGAGTCACATGGGGACCCCTTATAAATCTGCTCATTATGTGTCAGCAGGGACCTCATCTTGAAGCTATCAAAAGTCTCCTTCCCGGGACCTCATGTATGAAGCATCACCTGTTTGCCTCCAGCAGGAACCGGAAAAAACTAAGAGAAAGTCTGGTCTCCACCGAAGGGGGGATATCGTGGGTTGCGCCTTGTAGTGTGATTGAAAGTTAAACCTCCCCTCTGTCTTGTTTGATTCTATTCCGGTTGTCATAGTCACATGTCTTTCCAGAGCGTCACAGTCAGAGCTTGTTTCCAGTGACTCCGGCCTGTCATGTTTAGTTGACTTCCAGCAGATGCTGTTTAGCCAGGACACCAAATGTCGACCATCCTAGGTGGCTCGGGGAGGCTGGCAACCAAGGTGTGGTGGCATCACTACTTACCGGGAAGACCTAGCATGGGAGTCTAGGACATGCAGGGCTCCTTTAAGCTCTCTGTCCTGGCTTCGTCTGATTCTATCTAAGGTTTATATTTCTGGCCCTTGGAAATGATCTGTTTGCCTGTACTTTCCAGAACCATCTTTGATGCCAGTGACAAAGGAGTGTGCTGTGGGAGGTTTTATGTGGCCTTGGAATTCAATTTGGTGGGGCCTGTGTGTTTGAGAATAGTCAGGGAGCTGGAGGAATCAAATGACAGCAGTTTGAGAAAGCGGGGAAGCAAGTGACCCTGTCATTCTGACAGTGTCCCTTGATGATAAAAATAACAGGCCCAAGGGAAGACTGGCATTTCCTACGCCTTTATTTTCTTCTCGTGTTTTTTTTCCTACTTGAACCTAGAGAAGTGCCTCCCACTTCACACACAGCCCTCCTGCATCCCTTAGAGCTGAGAGCCCAGGATGCAAGCAGATGATGATACAGCATGGTTTTTGTTCTCACCTCCTCCCTCAGTCTAGCCCTCTGCATTCAATGCCCCTCATCTCTCCTGCAAGCACTGAGCTCATGACCCTGCTTGAACTTTCCCTCTCATCTCCTTCCCTACTCTGATAGCTCCGTCAATCTCTATTCACGGAGTATTTATGGAGTACCTACTATTAACCCTTGGTTACATCCTGTCTAATAGGATTTTGAGACTGTAACTTAGGTTTTGACAATGAGAGTCCAAGCTCCCAAGGTGCAAGGAAGTGTCTTCTACTTTTTTATGTCCCTCATGGTACACTAGGTACATGGGGTCAGTGTGAGCGCTTATCTAGGGTCGGCAAAAACAAAGACAGTCCAGCTCAGTGGTTTTAGACTATGCTCTCAAACTCTGGAAAGACAACAGTGATGCCAGATTCTGTACTCGGCCCCTTCTGATTCTCATAAATCCATCCCCAGTGACGGTGACTGGTGAGCGTAGCTTGCTAGGTTATATATCCATTTAAGTTCCTGTCCGTTCCCTGTGTTTTCAACCATGATATTGTTATCCAGAACAGAGAGTCAAGAACTAGGTCTCATCCCTGCCTGGCTGTGAAGCCCTGGAGCTTAATAAATGCCTCTCAATGCTACTGCAGTGAGTGATGCCTCAGAGAGACGACCCAATGTCCTGGAGACGAGCAATAGTTGCATCGTGGGGCATTCGCTGCCATCCTGCTGGAGTTCTGAGTGCTTGTTTGCTTCTGTTCTAGGCCCACCTGCCGTTCGCTGTCGTTGGCAGCACAGAAGAAGTGAAAATAGGCAACAAGATGATGAGGGCGCGGCAGTATCCTTGGGGGACTGTGCAGGGTGAGTCTGTGCAGAGGGGCTGCACTTAGCGCCTTCTTTGTGTATCTGCTGCCCCTGCCATGATATGGTGAGCTCCTAGATTGTCTCAGCCTCCGCTACTCAGTGTGGGTCTCAAACAGCCACAGGGGTCACTAGCAGCAAGCTCTGGTCCCGTGCTCAGATTCTATGATGGGAGCAGACTCCTTTTGTCTAATGGAGAAGGTACTCTCTTATACCCCACCCTGAAAGAGCAAAAGACAAATGGACTTGGCACAACATAGAAAGGGCTATAGAAGTTGAGTGTGTCATTAGGAGAGGCATGAGAATGTTTGCAGCATTATCATTATGAATTTATCATTCATAATGATAAATTATTACAAACAATGAGGTGTCCATCAGAATAGCTGGGGTAATTTGTGAAATAGTCATATAATGGGATCTTAGACAGCAGTGAAAGTGAATGAATTTCAGTTACAACTGTGTGAATGGCTCTCAGAAACACAGTGCTGAGCAAAATAAAATCACACAAGAATGCATATGGTAGGTTTCTATTTATATGAATTCCAAAAGTAGGCTAAAATAACATGATATGTATTGTGATAAATTCATGCATGAGTGATGAATGATGAGACCATTGTCATTAAACACACAAAACAATGAGAGCTGGAGCAGTGGACCTGACCTCTGTTCCCAACACCCACACCACGAGGCTCACCTTCCTCCTTTAACTCCAGCTCCAGGGGATCAGAACCCTCTTCTGACCTCTGTAGACACCCTACACACACACACACACACACACACACACACACACACACACACAAATAAAATAAATCTTAGAAAATTGGACCAATAAGATGTCTTGTGGGGGCAAAGGAAAGGCGCTTTCCTCTGAGCCTGTTGTAAAAGGAGCGGTGGGCTGCGTTCCTGGCGCCCAGCTGCCTGGCTAGTTTACACCCGAAATAATTACACGGAAACTATATTCATTTAAACACTGCCTGGTCCATTATCTCCAGCCTCTTATTGGCTAGCTCTCACATATTAGTTTAACCCATCTCCATTAATGTGCATTGCCATTTGACTGTGGCTTACCGGCATGAGTCTAACCAGCGTCTGTCTTGGAGAGGAGAGCCATGGCGTCTGCCTGACTCTGCTTTCTTTCCCCCAGCATTCTGTTCTGTCTACTCCATCTATCTAAATTCTAATGGCTTGAGTTTGATCTCCAGCACCCACCCAGTGGAAGAAGAGAGCTGATTTCTAAAGCTTGTCCTCTGACCTTCACACAAACACCAGCGCCCTCACAAGTGTACACGTGCACACCCACACCCCCTCACACTAAACGAATTAAAATAAAAAAACTATACAAATGACTGCTAAACCCTGTCAGGATGGTGCTTCAGTTTCATTACCAGAGGAGGCAGGGAGTAGAGAGAGGTGCATGAGATCAAAAAGAGGCCAGCAGGGGCTTCCAAGGTAACAGTAACATTAGCTTCAGTTGTGGGGATATTTACAAATTTTAAATTTCTTTAAATTGCACATACCTATTTCATGTACTCTTTTATAGATATGCTTATTTCATAATGTTAAAAAATTAGTTATATACCGTATACATGCATGACAATTCTTTTTGCACTCTGTCTCACACATGTTTCTCTTGTCGGTTCAGGAGGTAACATGAACCCTAGGACTCTGCCACAGGCAGAGATTTGGGGGCCCTGGGTCTGTAGCTGTAAACCAGGCCATGACTGACAGTTTCTCTGTAAATTCTTCCCAATCCTTGGGCAAATAAAGGAGAGTGGGCACCCAAGAAGGGTGGCATCCATCTGTAAGTCCAGTCCTGGGAGGTGGGGGGCAACTGAGAAGAGAGGATCGTGAGTTGAAAGGCAGCTTCGGGAGACCGTGTTTCAAAGAAGCGAAGATGAAAGTTGCTAGTGAGTTGGCCACCTCACATCCAAAGGCTGGTATGATTGAAGGCACAGCAAAGCCCCACCCACAGTGCTGAAGTGCTTTCCTTCTTTTGTGCTGCTGAGACTGGCACTCGGGGCCTCTCATGTATGCTAGGCGAATGCTCTGCCACTAAGCTACATCCTTGGTTCTTCTTTGTTACAATGTCAGAGACGGAAGTCAGGCCTCATGCCTGCTAGATGAAAACTCTACTGTTGAGCTCCATCCCCTGTCTGGATGTCCCATAGGTAGGAGAAGGCTGTTTGGCAGAGCTACGCAAAGTTTTGCTCTTCTCCGCCATTTGAGGCTGGGGATGTGTCTTAGTCAGTGTTTTATTGCTGTGAAGAGACACCATGACCAGGGTCACTCTTTCTGTTTGTTTTTTTTATTTGTTTGTTTGTTGTTTGTTTGTTTTGACCATGGCAAACGTTTACAAAGGAAAGCATTTAATTGGGGCTGACTTCCAGGCTCAGAGGATTGATTATCATCATCATGGCAGGACATGGCAGCACGCAGGCAGACAGGGTGCTGGAGAAGGAGCTGGGAGTCCTACATCTTGACCCATGGGCAACAGGAAGTGAACTGAGACACTGCACATAACTTAAGCATATATGAGACCTCAAAATCTGCTTTCACAGTGACACACTTCCTCCAACAAGGTCACACCTCCTAATAGTGCCACTCCCTATGAGATTCTGGGGTCCAATTCCATTCAAACCACCACCACAGGGTGTTGCACTAGGAACACTGGGAAGAGGCTTCTGGAACCAAGAGCCACACCTTTGGAATCTGTGGCCTGAAAGACAGAAACCTGAGGTGGGAGGAGACAAACCAGCAGACAGTTCCAGTGACTTCCTTCCTCCAACTTGGACTACCCTGCTCTTATCCCAAACTGAGTTTTGTTGTTGTTTGTTTGTTTTGAACTCTCTAGTTGACATTTTTTCTGGATGAGGAAGCAGTTGAACACTGCTTGGAAGCCTAAAAAAAGACTTAGAATTATTCCTTTCTTCTATCCTTAAAAAAAATAGAGTTTTGTGTAGCCCAGGTTGACCTTGTAATCACTATGTAGTTGAAGCTGGCCTTGAAGTCCTGACCCTCCATCCCCCACCTCCTAAGTGCTGAAATCACAGGTGTGCAGCACCAGGCCTGGCTCTAGAATCATTCCTCCTGAGCAAGGGTCACTGTCTTGAGCTGGAGAAGCAGATACATATAGCTTGCTCCCAAGGAGTTATTTATTATTGCTGCAGCTTTTTATATTAGTTTATGTTCTATGGCAATAGATATAGTTCAGTACTGAATGTAAGGGGCCTTAAGTAGAAAGAGGACATGGACCACTCTGGACTTTGAACAAATACTTCTGATGACCATATCTGACCATCTCTAATAGTACAATGCAATGGATCCGGGCCTGGAGGCATCCTATTAGAGCCCTGCTTGCAGCGTGGCTCTGGCCAGAAGTCCGCTCTGCTGTGATTTAGTCCACATCACTCACTTTCTTGTCTACTACCCAAAATGCAACCTTTGCCCACAAGGCAAAGAAGCGGTATCTACTTTCTCCTGCAGACTGCAGTGGTCAGGCCAGTATCCACCCTTGGTAAAACACCTCCTCGGAAGCTTTTACCACCCACATGGGCCACACCTAAGGTCTGCCCCTCCTTTTCCCTCTCATCTTTCCTACCCTAGTTCTTTTTCTCTTGCTCTCTGGAGATTCATCTATGGTCTTTGCCTCGCCCCTACACTACCAGGATTTGAAACCTAACTCTGCAACTTGCCCACTGTGTAACCTTGCCTACCCTTCTGGAGGCCTTGTGAAGAAGATCATGTTCTATTATCTGCCTGATAAATTCTACTCTTCCTTCCAGCGTCATCCAAGAGGTTTTATCTTTGGGGAAGCCCTTGTTCTCCTGGAGTTCACAGGTCCCCCTCTTCTGGGCTTTTCCTGCACTGCAGCCACGCCTCCACATTTGTAGTTTTGGCATTGTGTTCTATTGTTCTATTTACATGTGCTTTCCCATTAAGCTGCAGGTTCCTAAAAGCGTAGCCCCAAGACTTTGCTTCTGAACTATCTAGGCCAGAGAGAATACTGGAAACAGAGATTCTACTAATATTTATTGGGTGGATGGCTAGATAGAGGTGCATGTGTCGTCATCTGCAAAGCAATGTAGAGCAGATATTTCTGCACAAGGCTGCTTGGTAAATTTGTGTGGAGGCCTTAATGAAAGTTCTTAGATATTTGCACAGTAGTATTGCCCTTTCGTAATGTTTCATTCCCATTTTCACAGAAAATGGAATTAGGTTAAATGTGTAGGAGCTGTATAAAGAGGCTGCAAGGCGATGTCACCATTAGACACTTTACTTCTCACTGCATCCATTTCTTCTTCTGCTGGCCTTCCTTTCAATATACTTCCAATGCCCCAATCCCCGCTATGCAGTTGAAAATGAGGCCCACTGCGACTTTGTGAAGCTGCGGGAGATGCTGATTCGGGTCAACATGGAGGATCTGCGGGAGCAGACCCACACCCGGCACTATGAATTGTACCGCCGCTGTAAGCTGGAGGAGATGGGCTTCAAGGACACCGACCCTGACAGCAAACCGTTCAGGTACCGCTCATGCCAGGTCAGGCCCGCCTGGCCCAGTTCAGAAAACCTTGCCCTGGACAATTAGCAGGGGAGGAGAGATGTGGGGGTTAGCTGGGGGGCGGGGAGGCAAAGTCACCAGTGTTGCTTGACTATTCCCTCTCTGTGTTTGCGCATCTGCCAGAAAAGCTACCACCCCGCTTAGAAAAGCAGGGGAGGGCGGGGGTCCAGAGAACACTTTGCTGACTACTCACTGCTTTGGCCCTTCCCTTCCATATATGGCTGTTGTAGCCAGCCAGGCTCACCCAGACCCTGAGCTGGGCTTTCGTCCTACTGGGTGGCTGTTAGAACTGTCCTCTGTTCCCACTTTCTTCATCTGGCTCCCCTTCTGCTTAAGACGGGTTTCCAGTATGTGTTTCCCTAGCATGCACAAGCCCCAAGTTCATTCCTAGCACTAAGTAAAGAAATAGGAAAATACAGAATAGGACCACAGTCACTTTGCTTGTATTGGTGACCTGCCTGAGGCTCCTCTCCCACCGCCTAAGAATTTCAGTATGAGTTTTGTTTTGACCCCTGAAGATGAATAATCCCTGGTGTTTTCCTCACCTCAGAACTAAAGTGCTTTTTATTACACAGGTGGGAGCCCTAGGCCAATGGAAGCATCTGCTCTATATACACAATGCGTCATCAGCCCTGCATTTTGAATTACCATATGTTGCCCTTTACCGTGACTCCATCTCCTTTCAGGAAATGTCAGACATCCGTGAGCAAGCCAGGGGGAATATTTGAGGGAGGAAAAGGCACTCAAATGGCCTCTGGGATCCCACAGAACCTGTTCATAGCAGAAAGAGGGTCTAGGACACTGTACAAGCAGTTCATTGGGGAAATGTCTGCTTTAGGAATGGCAGCCTCCCACCCCTCTGTGGAGAGGCAGGTCAGGGCCCCAGAGCTCCTGAGCAGGGAGCAGAGAGAGTTTGTCTCTGATGGAAGGCCCTCCGTTTCTCTCCTTCACCTCCACAGTTTTCCTCTGCATCTGGAAGGTGTACTTCTACCTGGCCATTCAGCCCTGGCCTTCTCTTCTTTGCTGCATCCTCGATTCTTCTGTTCCTGCATCTTCACCTTCCCCCGTCTCTCCCACTGCCCTTGTCCACCTTGCTGGTAAAGACTCCTGCCTCATGAGCCCTTTTTCAGTTCTGCTCTTTCTTGCCAGTTCCTCCCATCAAGAGCTTTGTCTCTGACAGGGGAGAAACATTTCTGTATCCACTGTTCCTCTTCCTCCTCTCTCACTTCCTCAACCCACTGCAATCTGGCTTCTGCCTCCAGCTCTCCACAAAATGGCCTCTCTCTAAGGCCTACAGTTGTAGATCAGTGGCCAATTTCATCGTGGCTTGATTTCTAGCTTTGATTTTAATATGAAATGTCCATTTGGCTTTCTTGAGATACCCTCTGCCTTCAGCTCCTCCAGTGTTGGCCTGGCCAGCTTCGTCCCTCTCCCCCTTGGTTGCACTTTCAGGCTCATTTCTTCAGCTTTCTCCTTTCAGTGTTGCTGCCCCCTTGGGGTTCCTCCCATGGGCCTCAGCTCTTCCATACTCCCGTCTCTTTGTTCTGGCTACATTCTCACAGCTCTAATTAGCACCTGGGAATCTGATGATTCCAAAACTGACGCTTTACCATTGAGCTCCGAGCCCACAGATGCAGCTGCACCGCAGACATGCTATGGATGTCTAACCTGAATCCCCAACAGTCTGGCAGCCAGTCCACGTTCTTCTTCCTTTTCCACGCTGTTCATGTTCTACCATCTAGCTAGTGGCCCAAGCCAGAAACTAGAATCAGCTTCCTTTGGGGGTATATTCAGAAACTTTAATGTTATCATAAGCACAAAGATTCAAAGAGAGATGCTCACAAAGACAATAAGATACACTTGAGAAAGCAGGTAGGAGCTACTCAGGGGACAGCTGTCTGGAATCAGTTTTGATTTCTTCCATGGCCTGGAAATTCTGCAGCTCCTCCAGATCTCTCCATGCCCTGCCAGCCTTGACATGGAGATCCTGCCATGTCATACTGAAATTGCTGCAGAGTTTCCTTCCCAGAATAGCCAAGTGAACTTTACCATGTTCTGAGTGATGAAAACCACTCAGTGGATACATGTCCACTTCTTTCGTGTGGCATCCAAAGCCTGTTCTCTTCTTCCAGACTCAGGAACCTCCCTTTCCAGTCCTCCGTGGTTCCCGTGATCCCCCCAGGCCTATTCAAGTATGGCCACGTCCCTGGGAACACCACTCCCCGCTTGTGCCTTCCCATATGCTGCTCTGTTTTTGGAACACAGTCCTTCTGGTCTTCACCCGGCTGACTCTGACTCTTTTTAAAATAATACCTGCAGACCAGGGCATGGTCTTGATCCAGGCATCTCCCGACAGACCCTGAGATCCTCTAGGGCAGGCACGGTGGCTCTAGGCGCTACATGCTGAGCGAGCGACTAGCATCATGTCTATTCACACTGCTCGCTTACATGGTAGCTATAATCTCAGCAACTATTTGAGGAAGTGCTGAATCAATGTGGTTGGTTTCGGAGCCAGGGCCTGGCGGTGCAGTGCAGTGGGAGAAAGGCCGTAAATGAAGAAACAGGAGACCCAGCTCTGTCTCTAACTAGGTGTACAATCTTCAGCGAGTCACTTCACCACTGTGAAGGGGGGTGGGAGGGAGAGAGAGAGACATTTCTAGAAGTGGTATCCAGTTCATCGAGGCTCCTCTGCCCCCTTCAGGAGCTCTGTAATTTTGCTGCTGTATGCCAAGCTGTTCCCTCCCCTCTGATGGTTCTCTCTTTACATTTCTCTGTCATAATTAGAATTAGAGCAGAGAGGATGGGGGGGGCCTCAGGATGATTGGGGCCCGTTTTCTTGAGCAGGGCTTGCCCGGGAGGCAGTGGAATTGACTGGATCCCATCTACAGTTTACAGGAGACATACGAGGCGAAGAGAAATGAGTTCCTAGGGGAGCTCCAGAAAAAAGAAGAGGAGATGAGACAGATGTTTGTCCAGAGAGTCAAAGAGAAAGAAGCTGAGCTCAAGGAGGCGGAAAAGGAGGTAACTGTGAGCCTGGAGAGCAGGCAGGTAGGAGGAGAGACTGAGTGTGGGGACGGAGACCTCGGCCTGGACAGAGCAGCTAGAGGGGAGAGGGACAGTAGCCTCTGGGCAGGACTGGGGTGCAGCTTGGATGGAGAGAATCTTCTTGACCTTCATTCCCTAAGGCCGGGATATTTTCTCATTCTGTTAATTATGTAGAGGTGTTGCCAATCAACATGGTAGCCAACAGCTGTAGGTGGATTTTTTTTTTTTTGGAAATTTGAATTCATTCATTTGCTTAGGTTTTGAAGCCTATATGTAGCCCAGGCTAGACTAGTACTCACTGTATAGCCCAGGCTGGCCTCAAAATTTTAGAACCTCTTGCTTGAAAAGTGCTCAAAATATTTTATTAATTGCACATATTTACGGAGTATGATGTGCAATTTTCATGTTTATATAATAGAATTATTAAATCAAGCCAAGAGTCACTTCAATTCATATGTTTATCTTTTTTGTTATTTTTTGAGACAGGATTTCTCTGTGTAACTGTCCTGGCTGTCCTGGAACTAGCTCTTATACACCAGACTGACCTTGAATTTAAGAGATCTACCTGCCTCTGCCTCCTGAGTGCTGGGATTAAAGGCATGGCCACCACCAGCTATTTATCTTTTTTTTTCTGTTGGAAACATTTAAAATCTAAACCAAGTCTGGTCACACAGGCTATAATCTAGCAAGAGCACAAGTTCAAGGCCTGCCTGGGCAATTTAGTAAGTCGCTGTCTCTAAAGAAGAAAAGCTGAAAGGGGGCTAGAGATGTAGTTCAGTGGTAGAGCTCTTGTATAGTAGCATGCTTTAGGCCCGAGGTTCAACATTCCCAGTATTGATAGGGGGTGCATTTGAACTGTACTCTTGGCCATTTTGAAATAGACAATAAAATTTACAGTTCAGCTCTTCTCGTTAGCCCATTGCAAATGTAAATCCTGATGCAGCTGCAGGCGTGGAGCATCAGAACTAGCATCACACTCAGTTCTCCTGGGCGGTGGGGCACGTTGAGTCAGGGTGTGGAGCCATACTTCTTTTTTTTTTAAAAATATTTATTTATTATGTATACAACATTCAGTCTGCGTGTATGCCTGCAGGCCAGAAGAGGGCACCAAACCCCATTACAGATGGTTATGAGCCACCATGTGGTTGCTGGGAATTGAACTCAGGACGTTTGGAAGAGCAGGCAATGCTTTTAACCTCTGAGCCATCTCTCCAGCCCCTGGAGCCATACTTCTTGTCAACAACTTTGGGCAAGCAAAATAACTCAAACTCTCTGACCTTCAGACAAGGTGGAATAGGCCCACATTTTTGGAGTTATTTTTTGGAGCATTGGCTCCTCTGGAACTGGAGTTACAGATGACTGGGAGCTGCCAGGTGAACGCCAGGGACCAAAACTGAGTCTTCTGGAAAAGCAGAAAGTGCTCTTAACTCCTGAGCTATCCCTCCAGCCCCTAAGAAGTAATAAGCTCCTGATAGTAATAGTTCTTTAAAAATAATCAAACATATGCAGTTATTCTTTCAAGCAATGGCCTTGACTTGCAAGCATCCTCTACCTCTTCCCATCTCAATGCCAGAGTAATTGACCTCAGTTTTGGAATATCAGCCAGCACTTCCCTTCTCTTGGTCTTAGTTCCTAAACAATCTAAAAAGCCAAGTTTGGCTGCATATGCCTGTAACCCAGCCTTGGGGAGCAGAGACAGGTTGATCCTAAAGTACGGACTTAGCCAGAAGGAGAACTTTACATATGGGAGATCCCATTATATAATCCTCCAAAGACTTGTTGACCTTGGGCAAATGCCTTCACTTATAAGACTTTCAGTTTCCTTATAAAATAGACCCTACCTCAACTGTGTTGTAAGATAAGCATGCTGGCCTATACCTTTATCTCAGTACGCAAAAGGCAGAGACAGGAGGGTTGTGAGTTCAAGGTTAGCTTGAACTGCACAGCAAGATCCTGTCTCAAAAAGAAAAGGAATAGAATGCTGTGTTAATGAAAATGTTTTAATATATTAGATTTAGTTATATTAATTATATTAGATTAGATTAGGCTTGTAACAAACTAAGTACATATTATTAGCAACTACATCCAAGGGGTTCTTTGAAATAAAATCTTTGTTTACACAGAATACATTGGTCCTTGACCATTTCAGGAGCAGAGATTCTGAGAACAATTACAGCAATCTACAATAATCCATGACTGTTACTGGCAGGAATGTTTCCTAATGTCCCAGAGTCCTACCTGGTTGCAGTCACAGTGGTTCCTACCCACTCTGGTCTTGGCTGAGCTGGGGACTGCTCACTGCTGCAGGGGCAGTGGGGTAGACTCCCTCTAACTTCCCTGTGCCTCTCTGGCAGCTGCATGAGAAGTTTGACCGTCTGAAGAAACTGCACCAGGAAGAGAAGAAGAAGCTGGAGGATAAGAAGAAATCCCTGGATGATGAAGTGAATGCTTTCAAACAGAGAAAGACAGCGGCTGAGCTGCTCCAGTCTCAGGGTTCTCAGGCTGGGGGCTCGCAGACTCTGAAAAGGGATAAAGAGAAGAAGAAGTAAGTAGCAGGCTTGCTGGCGGGGGTGCGTGTATGTATGTATGTGTGTGGCATCTTTCTTTTCCTGCCCAGCCCCTCTCCCCAACTCCAACCACTACCTTTCAGGACCTAGAGGCCAAGGGGGCTGGTGGGCAGGTGTGCACTGCAGGCTGCAGTTAGACTTGTGTAGTTAGTTCAGTGTCCTCATGGTGCCCAAGTTTGAGTTGCTGAGAGAAGTGCATTCGCAGAAGTCTAGCTTTGCCCTTTGGCCCATCTGGGAAAGCTCTGCAAACTCAGGGCGGATAGTAAGGGAAGAGGGGCTAGGAAGTAGGAAACAAACGGTGAGAGATGTAGAGGGATAAAGAGGAACAAAAGGATGGACAGACCAGGATCTTTTAGCAGAAGCTCTATGCACTTCCCCAGACCCTAGACCAGCGGTTTGCAACCTGTGGGTTGTGACCCCTCTGGAGGTCAAGTCACCTGTTCACAGGGGTCGCAGATATTTACATTATGATTCATAACAGTAGCAAAATTGCAGTTATGAAGTAACAACAAAAATGTTATGGTTGGGGTCAGCACAACAAGAGGAACTGTTAAAGGGTCGCAGCATTAGGAAGGGTGAGAACCACTGCTCTAGACTTTCAGTATCATGCAGCATACAGGTCTGCTTGCTCCTCCCACATCTGAGGGGAGGGGCCTACAGTCATACTCTGCCTCCGTTCTAGCTGCACCCTGTGAAAGGTAAATGCTGCCACTGAAGGCTGCACCCTGTCTCCCATCCTCCATACTTTTGCTATACCTCTTCCTGCTGGCTGCTTAGGTATGCCCAGCCCGGGGTACTAAGAACTTAGTAGGGGGGCTTTGGATGCCAGTGTCCTCTGCATAGGGCATTTTCAAGCCTGGGGAATGGTTCAGAAACCATTGTTTCTCCAAGTGTTTGGTAGGTTAGTAGTCCTGACCCTACCCCAGTCTCTGCTTGCAGAAATTCCCCATTCCTCATTTCAGAGCCAGAGAAGAGGAAAGTGTTCCTGGCAAGAAAGCATGCAGAGGTTCCCTTGTGCTCTGTGGCTGTTTGTGCAGTGGGACTCGGGGAATTCCGGATGGGGTATTTAACAACATCCTTACTAAAGAATCCTTAAGATCCCAGAGATGCCCATGCTCATGACCTTCGATTTGGGGCCACTGATTTGAGTCAGCCATTGGATACTTTCCAGAAGGAAGAAGTATCTTTTTGCCTCTGTGCCTGTCTCACTTAGAAATCACACCATGAATGTAAACTATTTTATATTTCACGGCACTGAGTTTTGTGATCCTATTATCCAATTTGACTACCTATTATGTAATTTGAATATTTTCATCAACTTGGTCCAGAGATTTTTTTTTTTTTTGAGAATAGAATCTTTTTCTTGGTGTGGGGGTGGGGTCTTAAGACAGGGGTTTTTTTTTGTGTGTGTGTGTGTAGCCCTGGCTATTCTGGAACTAGTTCTGTAGACCACTCTGGCCTAGAACTCACAGAGATCCACCTGCCATGCCCCACCACCACCCCCAGAACAGAATCTTACACCTACATATCAAATTCACTGATTTTTTTTTTTTTTGGTACTAAGGTTCAACTAGGCAGATGGAAAACCTCTTTGGATGCATCAACTATTAACTTATCAGTCATGGCATATTAGTTATACTAACAGAAAATGATTCATATTTTCCTTTTTAAAATTTATTTGGCACTGGGTGGTGGTGGCATACACCCTTTGATCCCAGTACTTGAGTTTGAGGTCAGCTGGGTCTACAGAGCAAATTTCAGGACAGCTAGGACTGTTACACAGAGAAGCCCTATCTCAAAAAGCCAAAAGTAAAGAAACAAATAAAGTAAATAATTTGTCATCACCTGGTTTGTTAAGGATGCACTGATGTTGTAGGTCAGTGGTTCTCAACCTCCCTAATGTTGCAGCCTTTAAATACAGTTCCTCATGTCGTGGTAACCCCTAACCATAAAATTATTTTTGTGACTACTTCATGACTGTAATTTTGTGTTTTCAGATGGTCTTAGGTGACCCCTGTGAAAGGGTCATTTGACCCCCAAGGGGTTGGGGACCCACAGGTTGAGAACCACTGCTGTATCCAATCCCTTCAAGATGTTCAGTGAAAGCTCTTCCCAGACCAGACTTTTCCCCAGACTTCCTCCCATCTCATGCAGAAGACTGGATGAGTCTTTCTTTCCCCACTCTCCAGAAATATCTGGGGTTGGTGCCAGTGCCCCCTTCCAGTTCTGAGACGGGTGAAAACCTTGCTGGAATGTGGCACCTTATACTAGCAATCAGAGCTGGAACAATAGCCTGTCCCCATCCATACTCTGTGAGTGGCCCCGGGTCTGGGCTCCTTCTGCATCTCTGGGAGCAGTTGGTGAACTTGGAGAGAGGATGTGCCACTAAGCTTATGCTGCTCTGCTCCCATGGCGCTTTTGCTGGTGATGGTTTGGCGGAGGGTATAAATTGGGGTAGTAATTTTTTTAGACAGATTGTGGGTGGATCTGATCAATTCCCAGCTTCAGAATTTCCTCTGGATGCCCCTAAAGAGACTAAGAAAGAGTAGTAGTGTTTCAGGGGTGTCTACCAAGCCACACTTCCCTGTTCCCTTCCCCATTTCTCCTAATCCTTTGACCTCTAACACTTCATTATTTGTATCAATTCTTAATATTGCATTTCTCCTCATGCTCACTACACCTTCATCAGCTCTTACTGTTTTACAGTTAACTCTGCTGTTCGCTGCATGCTGCATGAGACCCAGGGTCCTGGTAAGCCTCATTAACTCTAAATAGAACTGGCAGTGGCTTCTAGAACATACCTCCCCAAACCCCACACTTGCGATACATATAGTTAACCATGAAAGAAATGGCTTCATTGGACCTGCTACTTTCCTCCCAAGACTTCCAGTATAAAGTTGTAATCTGTCGTGGTTTTAAGTGGGCTTGTTACATCTGGAGTGACTGCCTGCCTGATTAGATGGATGTGTGTGATGGCATTTGCAGACTTCTGCTGCTGGCACAGCTGTGTGGCATAGGAGATCATCTGACCAGCATGTAAAGTTTCAGCTCACACATGTTTTTCATACAGAGCCATAATCATGACTTTCAAAATGCAGTGTGATGATGCAGGAAACTGCTGGGTTCACAGTTCCTTGCCTGCTGTGTCACAGTCAATATTGACTACCCACCCCCCACAAACACACCCCAGATACAGGAATGTGCAAAGAGAAATTGCTTCTCTGTCTCCCTCTAATAATTGCTCCTTATCTGAGGGGTTCAAGTTCTCCAATTTCTTTTTATTGCATGCCCCACCCTCCAAAATATAACCAAAGTGGAAGATAGTGAAGAGACCTCAGATACTATAGGGAAATCTTTACATTTAGTGCTGTAAGAACAGGTGAGGTGGTTTGGCAGGCTTCATGGCAGCATTTACCTTTCACAGAAAACCACTGAAGTCTCGCAGTCTGGGTTTAATCCCTAGAGCCCATATAAAGGTGTAAGAAGAGAAACAACTCCGGCCACTCTACACCATGGCACGTGTGTCCACAAACAGTACTAATAAATTAATTTTAAAACTTTAATTCTGGGTCTGGAGAAATGGCTCAGGTGGTTGAGAACACTTTGCTGCTCTTCCAAATGAGCTGAGTTTCCTCCCAATACCCGCACATTAGGTGGCCCACAACTGCCTGTAACTCTAGCTCCAAGGGATCTGACAACCTCTTCTGGCCTTTGTGGGCACCTGCATGCACGCGCGCACGCGCGCTCACAAACACACACACACACACACACACACACACACACTAAATATAAATCTTTTAAAAATTAATTCTGTAAGAACAAGCTTCATGAAAACCTCTGCTAAGGAATTAGCAGGTAATTCTTTGTAAGAATCTCTGAGGGCTAGTGGTTGTGTCTACAGGAGTAAGTACAACAGTCCATGCTATCGCATAGATTTTAAAGAAAATGAAAGCAGTCATTATAGGATAAATGAAAGCAGTGATTAAGCACCTTTTGTATACGCTACCAAAATCAGGAAGCGGGGTGAAATTGAATAGAAATACTTTTAACAGCGCACTTGGAAACTTTCAAATGTAGAGAGAGAAGAGGTAATAGTACAATTCAGCCCCATATTCGTGGAGCCTGGCCATCAAAGAATCATTGACATACAGCTAATCCTGCTTCCTCAATTACCCAGACATGCTAAATTATTGTAAGGCAAAAGTTGTATCAATTTATGTGTAAAATACATAGTATGTATTTCTAGGAGATAATGATGCTGTAAAATAAACACAGCCATCATTATCACACCTATAAAATTAGCAAAGTACCCCAGTGGTCCCATAAATTGCCTTTCTTACTTTTGGTTTGTTTGGGTTGGGGACTAAAATATTGAGAAGCTGTCCCCTGGCTCAGCCATGCAGTGGTTTATATGGGGAGCCTGCTGTTAGTCATCAAATCAATGGTTGCAGTCATCGCACTACAAACTTCAGGCAGCTGGCAAAAGAACCGTCCTTTCAAGCAAATCCCAGCAAGGAAGTCCATCCAGGTTTCTGAAACAGAAAGCCCAGGAAACTGAGTCAAACAAATGCATCCTAGAAGAACAAAGAAATGATTTACTACCTGCTTTAAAAACAAGCTCTGGGGCCTCTGCTAGGGCACCAGCATCAAACAGCAGCTTTCTATTCAGGAAGACTAAATTCCTAGAATATTTGCTCATTACCATAGTTCAGGTGCCTAGTCAAGTGTCTGAGACATAGTAGGAACTCAGTTCATATGGAGTTTCTTTGTTCTACCATTTTCTTTTTTTAATTTTTAAAGAATTGTTTATGTTTTATTTAACTTTATTTTATGTGCATTGGTGTGAAGGTCTCAGATCCCTGGGAACTGGATTTACAGACAGTTGTGAGCTGACATGTGGGTACTGATAATTGAACCCTGGTCCTCTGGAAAAGTAGTCAGTGCTCTTAACCACCAAGCCATCTCTCCAGCACCTGTTCTACCATTTTCAATGAGAGCAGGAAAGATGTATTCTGGAGAATTCCATTTTGACTAATTCAGATTTTATTGCACACTGAATGATTTTCACTCAGAGTTCCCTGGGTACATCTTTGTTAGTAGCCATCCTTAAAATGGACCCTGGAAAACTATCACTAAAGTGAGAGACGATAAACAGCCGGAGCAGCCAATTTCAACCCCAAGCTTCTGTGTAGTAGACTGCAAAAGCAGTTCTAGATCAGTTGATCTGGGAGGGCCTTAGCTGCCTAGGATCTGCAAGTAGCAAAGCTTATGTGCCTCCTTCTCAAAACCTTCACTTGGGGAGTTGATCAGAAAAGCCACCTGGAAGGCAGCCTGAGGGAGGCTTATATACATGGGAGAGCAGGCACATTCATTGTGAACAGTTGATTGCACATTCTCATATAAGCATGTTTGTCTAATTCCACTCCCCGCAAATAGCACTAATTTAATGGGATGACTATTGTGTCTGTTTTTCCAAAAATCTCTGAGAAAATCAACTTAAGGAAGGGCATTTAGTTCTGTTTATGGTCACTTGGCCTCATTGGTGTGGCATAGATTTTGGCACAGCATCGTGGTAGAGGGGTGTATGGAAGCAGAGCTTCTCACTTCGTGCCAGCCAGGAAGCAGAGAAATGAGGCAGGGACAAGATACAGCATCACAGGACTTGTTCCAGTGACCTACTTCTTCCAACAGGCCCGTCTGTAATACTATGAATCTTTCAACAGAATTATTGTTAAATCAGAGCCCTCAGATTCTAGTTACTTCCTCAAAACCCCTTAGCTGACAAGGAAGCTTTTAATACATGAGTCTTTGAAGCACACACCACATCTAAACTACAAAAGAAATCTCATTTTCAGGACATAAAGAAGGATTTTGATACATAGCAAAGAAATTCTCAGAGACCATTAAGACTCTCCCAGTAATAGGAGAGTCTTGGTTAGATATCTCTTATCGTGGATATAATGATACTTTATGACCATAGGCATATGTCAGTCTCTTCATATGTGACACAGGGACCAATATGACTTAACCTATTTATATCACAGAAATGAAATCCCAGCAGGAGACAGGTCAAAGTATGACATGAACACAAATCAGTGGGCTTCTGTAGCTCAGGTTTACAGATCACTGGTTGGAACCCCACCCATCACACACTTGACAAACAGGTATTGGCTTAGGGTTGCAGTTAGCCGGCTAAACTTGCTACGAAGGATGCCAAAGTTGAAACCTCAGTTTCTTCTTGTCCTTTTGGGACAAGAGGGCTGTGAGCCTGATGCTGTGTCTGGTAGTCTGAGACTAGAGACATGGTATACATGGACAAGGTTATCTGGATGTGTGTATGTGGGATTGTATGTCAAGAACAGATTTTAAAAATTATTTGTGTGGGATTTGGTCTTTATTTTGCTTTTTAATGTCACCACTGCTGCCATTAATATGAGAAAGCATGTTCCCAGAAGTCAGTGCATAAGACTTTTAAGACCATCTAACATAATTATTCTACTTTAGCTATTAGTTATGACTTAATTTCCTTCTGGCTTTTTTTAGGGGTACATCCATCCATCCATTCATTAACCCCCCTTCTCTTTTCATTTTCAGTTTGGGCTTCCTGTAGACGCACCCTTTCCTGTGCAACAGAGCTGGGCCTCCCTCTCTTATTTCCCCCTTACCATATTTAGGGGGCATACAACCCATGCCCTCCCCTCTCTTCCTGCGAATGTTTATAGAAGCCTGAGAGTCAAATGATGATGCCTGGCCTCTGACCAAGAAGCCAGCAACGACGTAGCTTGGAGTCACATTTCATCCCTTAGTCCTCCTCCTAGCACCCCAACCATATGTGCCCCTACTTCTCCATCCCTATCTTTGCCAGATTGTCACATACTCAGGAGTTGCTATTTGCTACTCTTCCTCATTTGAATTTGACCAATATTTGTCTCCTTGAGGTATTTCCATCTACCCTGGCTGGATAAGTACCAGCCAAGGCTCAGAGCTTTCCCCTTATACTCCTGCATCCTAGTCAATGGGATTGTCCTCCCATTCCTCTAATCTAAAGAGCCATAACCTCTTCTCATAGGCTTCAAAAGAATTGCCAGTGATACCTATTTCTTCTACCATCTTAGCCCAGCCATTTCCCAATTCCATTCACTCAGAGTCCCCTGTATTAAAAGTCAGCACACATTTATTTGTACCAAGCCCTTTCTATAAAACACAATTTTCTGGGCAAGACAGTGTATATTTCCCCTCTAATTCTGGATACCCCACAGATAAAGAAGGGAAAATAAACTAGCATATTATTACCAGCCTAGAGTCTTGAATGATAGACTTATAGAATTCTCCTTGGGGATTTCAGCATGTCATTGGTCATTTCTTGCCATCCCAATGAGGTGGACTATCAATAATAATCCCAGTTTGTAAACTGGTGAGTTGGTTAAAGAAGCTAGGCTTGGGGCTTGCCTGGATGAGTATGCTGGTCTACCTGATGATTGTAATGATGGGTTGAATCTGCATTTGCATCCGTGCCACTTAAAAGAGGAGAGACCATTAGCTGGAGGGAAGAAGAGATGCTGTTGCTTGACATTTACTTTGGTCTAAGGATTTGATATTTTAAAAAATACCCTAGTCTTAAGTTTTATAATGGGTCCCATCTGATTATGGCTTTTGGAAACCCTTTGAAGTACAGAGCCTTCCACTGTCAGGGCCATGAGGCACAGTATGGCTTTTGGTGTTTGACTAGTGACAGAGCAACAGCTAGAGGCGACCTGGCAATGATCTGTGGCTAATATGGCGTCTCTCTGCCCTTCCTTTGCAGTAATCCATGGCTGTGTACTGAATAGTATGCCCTGCTACAGCTGGACTGGACTCCACTTAGCCTTTTAAGAGAAGGTTCTTATTTTAACTGACAACTTTTTTAATGGTGCCAGACAGCTGGGCCCTCCACCCCTGCTCTGGTACTTCAAGTTTCTCTCTCTCTCTCTCTCTTTTTTTTCTTTTTTCTTTTTCTTTTTCTTTTTTTTTTTTTTGAGTTCTGCAACTTGCTTCTGCAACTTGCTTCTGCCTCCCAGTCTGACTGGCGTGGACCATGACCTTCTTCTTTTTTCATATTTTAAAGGTGGTTGTATAATCGCTACCTCTAAAACACACAAGGTGATAATACATTTACAGGCAAAAGGGCAGAGCCATTCTCTACAATCATAGTTAACACCCGGAAGCCAAGACCAAGCCCAGAGCAGAACTAGTTAAAAGCGAACATGTCAGTGTGCACACTTTCTCTTTTTTGTGGTCAAAGAGAGAAGGCAATGTTGATGTGTACTGGCCTGTGGCCAGAGGCAAGTACAGGGTGACAATGGGAAAGCATGAGCTAATTTCTTGGGAAAAACCAACTGGAAGTGGAGAAATTCAGGTAACCCTACGCCTAGAGGTAAAACAGAATAAGGCATCACCACCAAAACAGAAAGCTCAAAGCAGAATCCCCAAATACCTTCAGTTACACAGTCAGTAGTCAGGGGAGTCAGGCTACAGAGTTAACTGAGTCTCCCTGAGAAAGACCTCTTATCTGCAGCCATAGGGTTCTGTGGGGTTTTTGTTTTTGAGACAGGTTCTTACTATGTAGCTCTGGCATCACAGTGTAGATTAGGCTGGCCCTCAAATTTACAGAGATCTGCCTGCCTGTATTTAAAGGCAAACACCAGCTATGTGTAGACCCAGCTGTTTTAGGGGTTTTAATTCATTTTCCCAGAAATGAGGCTTCTCCTTTGCAATTGTATATAAATTCACTACTTGAGGCTTGAGGATTTCAAAATACTTTGCAAGTATTTGAGCTAGAAAACTTTTCAAAAACAAGGAGGAATTGTACATAAAGTGGGAACTTTTTGGCCAGCATGGATGATGTAATCCCCTATGAGGATACTGACATGTAAAGAAATGAAGGAATTTATCTGAGGTTCCACTGCTATTTCTTGGCAAAGTCCAAGCAAAATTTTGTCTCTAGGTTCCCAATCCATTTCACTAAGGGACCCAAGTATTTGTGTGTGTTCCTGAAGACAAGATTTTTTTTTTTTGATGTTCAGAGAAACCAGTCGTTGTTAGAGGAGTCTTGAGGGTTTTCACGTTTTCACATAGAAAAAATAGAATGGGATGGATAGGGGCAGGTGGAGAGAAGGCTCCAGGCCAGCTACCATGATGCCTGATGGTCAGTTAGCTTTCCTATAAATCTGAACCAGGACCAGGCCAGTGACCCTTTCACTGGTACACTGTGTGGCTTCTTGTAATCAGGGAACTTTGGTGGAGATAAAAAGCAATCAAACTCATTAAAGAAATTGAGATGATGCTAAATTTCATTGAGCAGCTCTTCTCCCTGTAAATGGGAAGGTTTTTGTTTTTCTTCACTTGAACATCATTCTTTTTATGTGTGAGAGACAGGATTTCTTTGTGTAGCCCTGGCGTCCCGGAACTAGCTCTTGTAGACCAGGCTGGCCTTGAACTCACAGAGATCCGCCTGCCTCTGCCTCCCAAGTGCTGGGATTAAAGGCCTGCGCCACCACTGCCGAGCATTGAACATCTTTTTAATCAGTACGGTTGTTACTATTCTTTAAAAATACTCAAAAATCTGTTTACTTCTAGTGAAACAAAAACCATTAGATATGATCTGTGCTTTTGTTTTTCTAGACTAGAATGGAATGGCTTTCCTGAAACACACACACACACCATTCATTTCTCTGAAGCCAACAAGTCTGGTTTCCCCACCTAGTTTGGATCTTTTTTAAAAAATCATTTGGCACTCACATGTGGCTGTTAATATGTGCTTATTTTTTAATTAAAGCAAGACTCATTAAACTGGTGTGTGGTGTTCTTCAAACCTTTTCAACAGATTTCTCCATGGTGATGGTCCCTCCGTGACCTGCTCCTGTCTTCTTGGCATTTAATCTATGCTACCTTCCACTGCCCACTCCCCCTGCATGCCACTTTAAATGTCCTTTCTCTTCGGCTAATTTCGTGTTTTCTCTCTCTTTCTCTCTCCCTCTCCAGCTTTTTTTAACCTTGTCTTCAGCAGCTGTACTAAGTCTAAAGGAGAAGACTGCCATTATAGAAGAGTTAGTTAGGGCTCCATATTGTCTCAAGCAAGAAACCAACCAGTTCCCCTCCCCTGCAACTGTGCACATAACACCACACTCAAGTGTACATGTGTCCCTGTGTCCAGGCAAGAAGCTCTCTTCTGACTTACATGGTGTTTTACATGTGTCTTGTCCTAAACTCACAAGGCAGGAAAAGAATCATCAGAGCTGGAATTGGACCAAATGTAACCTCAGAGAGACGACGACAGAACCACTCACCCAGGTGTTAAGTGATTGGGGCAGGAGACCTCAGCTGTGGGTGTGGAAGTGCTGTTCACAAGGTTTTGAGTTTTCTGTTTGTTTTTTAAAAAACAATTCTCTGGTTCAATGGGTTGACTGTCTTCAGCCACTATTAGGCTGATTCTGAATATGGAAGAGAAAGTTGAGTGACATTTGCATCTTCAGCATTCACAGACCTTCTGTAGCTTCCAGCAAGGGGGAGAAGTGGAGCATTAACATTCTGCTGGAGAAAGAAACTGACTGATGGGGTTTAAGCTTAGTGAGAACAAGGCTTCTCCACACAAATTTCCAAGGGGCTTTTGGGGGCTTTGCAAGAGGTTTCTGCTCAAGGTTTCCTTGGTATCTGGAAGGAGAGCTTTGATGTTGGTAAATCTGCCTTCAATTTATTGGCTTTACTTAATATCTGAATACCATGTGAGTGTGCTCATCCCCACGTAGCCATACCACAAACATCAACATTCTGCTGTCCCGTCTCTTGAGAGAGCCTCTTTGCATGTTTTCCAGAATCTGTGTTTGTTTTTCCTTTCTTCTCTGTGGTTCTTTTGGCTCAAAGGTGTGACCAGTCACTGCCCCTCTGGGGCTTTCATTTTCCACAAGATACATCCCAGAACCAGCACTGTTTAGCTCATTATCTTTCTAATGTCCATGTCAATTTTCAATAAAATTCAAAGAAATGTTCCATGGTTCCATGATCTGATCCCATCAGTTGAGGGCATGGCTCACCACAGTTTACTTTAGGAAATGGGTGGCTACCTCCCAAGTGGATAATTTGGGAGGCTCAGAGAAATGCCATGGTCCCACTAAGCCTTCCTCAGTGGACCACCACACCCCTTGCTTCCTTCTGGCCCTGAAATTCCAGTGGGGCAGGGTGGGGCTTAGCAGGCAGTCTCTGCTTTCCCTTTAATTAGTACTGGCTGGGCTAATCAGATGAACTGAGAATCAGACAGTAGAGGGAAGGGGAAAATACAAAATGGCATCCCACAGAGCAAAGTCCAGGTAAGTTTTAATTATAGAACAGAAGCAGCTCTGTGCTGCTCCTCTCATTCACTCCTGTGATGTGCATGTTTTCCCAATTTCCCAAGTTGAAAGGCATTCTGTAGATATTAAGCCTTCGTCTCTCAGAGGGAGAGCTGCCTCCCATCCTCCCAAGCATTAAGGTAGACAAAAAGGAGAGTCGTCAGTTTTCAGAAATCTAGTGCGTGAAGGGGGGCTTGCTTCCCTCCACTTCATTTGCCTAATGATCAAAGACTGAAGAAAGGACCAGTGTGTCTTCTCTGTAGCAAAACCCCCAAGCCTCTGCTTGGGTACCAGAGTAGACAGCACTGGCCTGCCTCTACGCAGCTCACACACTAGGGGGCAGCAGAGTAAAGCTATAGTCACTTATGACGTCGCTGAACACTGAGGAGCATGTGGAGATGTGGAAAAATACAGAGAATCCTTAGCCTGTTTGTGATAGCGGGAAAGTTGTGATAAGAAAGGCAAACGCGGTCTGGTAATATGGTAAGACGCCTGTTGGCAGGCCCAACTGTCTACGTTCGATTCCTGGGACCTATATGGTGGAGGGAGTGATCTGATTCCTTGCAAGTCCTTCTCTCATTTCCCCCAGTTGCGGGGGTGAGGGAGAGAACGAAAACCTTATGAACCTCTTCTGTTACTGAAGACAACAAAATCCCCAAACAGCAAAGGCGGGGATGATGGCACACTCCTATAATTTCAGCATTCAGAAAGCATGTGGGAAAGGAAGTCTCGTCTGACACCAACCTGGTGTCCAAGGCCATTCTGGTTACATATCCAGACAATGCCTCAGTAAACCCGGCCTGGGGTGGTGGTAGGGCTTCTCTAGAAAAGGGGAATGCCAGTAAGTCCTTCACAGAATTAATACACACTGAAAACAAGATACAAAAAGTATCTGCTGAGATGGCTCAGCAGAAAAAGATACCTGCCACCAAACTTAATGACCTGAGTTCGATCCCTGGAACTGACACGGTGGACGTAGAGAATTAACTCATGCAAGTTATCCTCTGGATTTAAGTCATGTGCCATGGGTGCAGGCAAATGTGGGTGCAAAGTCACTAAAGAAATAAAATGAAAAAATTCAGTCATGGATGGAGCTGGAGAGATGACCAGCCCACAGGTTAAAAGCACTTGCGGCTCTTGCTGAGGGTCAGATTCCAGCACAAGCCCTGGGGCAGGGCTTCTTACTGCCTGGGTAACTCCAGCTGCATGGTTTCCCTTTCCCTCTTCTGGCCTCTGAAACTCCAGAATTCATGGGCACATACCCACACATAGACAGAAACACACATAATTTAAAATAAATCTTTACGGGGGGCACATTAAGTAGATGAGGTTTCTTGTTTTGGAACCTCCCACTGAGATCCATCACAGTTCTGCACTACTTGGCATGGGGTTTATTTGAGGATGTCCTTGTCCTAGTGGGGTAGGGATGTAGTTGGTCGAATTCTTGCCTGGCACTCAGAGCCCTGGATTTGACCCTCAGTACCAAATAGAACCAGAGGTGGGGACATACACTTGTGATACAGCACTGAGAAGGTGTGACAGAATGAGCAGGAGTTCAAGGCCAGCCTTGACTACTGTATCATGTTCACTGCCAACCTAAGTTATGGGTAATAAGCACATTCTTTTCTATAATCACAGTTGCCAACTTTGGGAAGTGATTCATTATACCATTTTAATCTACCAAATTATTATTATTATTGCTTTTTTGAGACAGGATTTCTCTGTAGCTTTGGAGCCTGTCCTGGCACTTGCTTGGATAGCCTTGAACTCACAGAGATCTGCCTGCTCCTGCCTCCCGAGTGCTGAGATTAAAAGTGTGTACTACCATTGCCCGGCTAGTAGTATGGATTCTTAACCTCTGTGCCATCTCTCTGCCTCCAACACTGATCTTTTTGAAGTCCTGTTTTTGGTTGTTGTTATATTTATTTATTTATTTATTGGTTTTTTGAGACTGGGTTTCTCTGTGTAGCTTTGGTGCCTGCCCTGGAACTAGCTCTGCTAGACCAGGCTGTCCTCGAACTCACAGAGATCCACTTGTCTCTGCCTCCCTCCTGAGTGCTGGGACTAAAGGTGAGTGCCGCTGCCACCACCACCACCACTGCCCAGCTTGTTGTTTTTAAAGCTACAATGGAATGTGCGTGCTGTGAAGATAAAGTACTTGCACAATGACAGCCTGATTACAAATCTGAGAACCAAGTCCTCAGAGTTGTCTTCTGGCTTTTACAAATGCACCCTGACACCCATGTACCCACAAATACAATCAATTAATAATAATTAAATAGTAATAAACTATTTTCATTTTGGATCAAGGTGTTACTGAAAGATTTCGGCGCAAGTAACCCTAGCAGGTCCCAGGGCGGGTGGGAAACAGAATATGCCAGGCAGAGGGAGACTGAGGGAGAAGTTTTAATAAAGGAGGGTGTAGGGGGAGGAAGAGAGAAAGGAGATGTGGGGGAGAGAGTGAGAAGTGGAGAGGGAGTCAGAAAGCTGTCCCTTCAGAAGAAAGGCGGGCAGAGAGAAGGGGTAGGAGCAGAAACCAGCTTGCCTCAGTGGGAAAGTGCTCCTGGGAACTAAGAGTGGGCGGAGCTTGCCTCTTAAAGGGACAGGTTAACGACAAGGAAGGTCAGCAAAATGGTAAGTTACCTCATTCCTCCACTATATAATTGCTATTCTTATTCATCCCTCTTCCATCAACAACCTTGCTAATAAAAACCTATGTGGAGAAACTGTACATCCCTGCATACACCTTGCTCCTCATCAAAAACTTCCTTCTAGATTTAGCATGTGTTGGTAGTTCTTGCCTGAGCAAATCTCCAAAATGATTATTCAATTTCAGCCCTTCCTCCCCAGGGTTTGGTCAATGCACAGTGACTTCACGGTAAGCCATAGCCTTTTCCTCCCTCCCAATTGTCTACTTAGCATCACTGCGGATTCATGGCTCTATATGATAAATATGTTTTATATGAATATTTGGGGATTTAATTACTAACTTTTAAACTTAGCATACAAGGTGGTGGGCTTCATTAGGACATTTTCATAGATCCAAGTCACTGCATTTTGTTCTTATTTGTCCCCCTCTGGCACTGTCCTTTATACCTCCCCATCTTGTTGGTTCTCTTCCTCCCCAGTCCTCTTCCTTCTTCTGCTTTCAAGTCATACATATTCCATTTTCCTTTCTTTTTTTCTTCCTTGGCCCCTCCCTTGAGATTTTTTTCCTCCCTTCTCATGTTTCTCTTTGTATTTTCATCACACACACACACACACACACACTTCCCAACGTTTTCTACTTCATTACTGTTCCTAATTATTTTGGTGCTCAGGCCTAATTGGAGGTTCCTAATTATTGCTTTAAGTCCATTAGTAAGCATTCCTCAAGTGCATTTATGTTGAGGGGTACTCAGGTCAAGAACTCTGCGGCGGGGGGAGTGGAAGTGTAATTGTCTGGGGGGACAAAAGCAAGGCGGGGAGGAGTATGTTCAACCTACAATACATACTCATAGGAAAATTAAAATATATATATGTATGTATATATATATATATATATATATATTTAAAAAGAATTTTATGAGACTGAGACAGCAGGATTGCTGTAGGTGTGAAGCTAGCCTGGACTCCAGAGTGACACTTTGTCTCAAGAAAATAAAACAAACAAAAGCCCCTCTAAGGATTTATATGCACATAACAGCTGATGAGGGAGAGAGGCTTTATTCAGTGGTGAAGCTGATGGTAAGATGCCCATGCTACTGTAAACTGCCCTAATTGTGTTACCCCCAAAGTCTATGGAAGTTGAAAGGCGGCTAGGTTAGGAAGAGGAAGGGGTTTGGTGGTAGTGGGAGGGAACTAGAGAGTAACAGTAATAGGGGGTGCAGGGTGTAATCAAAATAGGCATGTAACTCGTTCCGACACACACACAAATTTGGAATGGTCTAATTTCTGATACGCTAATGGGAATAGTGTTTAGCTGGTTCTGAGGTTCCCTCCTGCCATTACTGACTCCTTTACAAGAAAGGTCAGAGAAGGAAGCCTGGCACAGTCAGAGGGGTTGTGCGCAGTCTAAAGAGAGTGGCTGAAGGCTGTGTTTGAGAATAGATGGATGCTTACAGTTTTGTGGTATGGTTCAGGATTGCATTGGACTGCCTTTATAGTCTCTTTCCTCCACAGCCTCAGTCTTTATTCAGATGATCTGTTTCTGCTTAGGTATCTCAGCTGATCCCTGAGAGATTCTGTACCTTGTGAAAAGGGAATAAAACAGATTGGCTGTAGGATTTTTTTTTTAAATTACCAGGGAGAGAAGGTCACAAGAAGATCATGCAAGTGTTTCTTCTGCTTTGTTTTCTGGAGACGACACGGTTTCTGTTCTCTAGTGGGAATCATAAAAAGAGCAGCATCAGGACTGTTCTAGAATAAATGGCCTCTGGCCTCTTTTTCTTGGCTATCTGGGAATATAGGGGATTGAATCCAGGCCTTCCTACACACTAGGTACTCTACCACCCAGCTTCATCTACAGCCCACTAGATGGCCTCAGTTTCAATACTTTTTATTTTATAATTCAAAAGTCAGATTATGTTTTCTTACTTGCTTGTTCCCCCTGTTCACCCCCCAGCTAATACTCTCTGGAAACATCCCTACAACCATACTCAATTATGTGTCTCTTTAATGCCTAGGTGATTTTTTTTTATTATCTTTTGAAATTAAAAGATAACTGCATCATTTCCCCCTTTCCCTTTCCTCCCTTCGCGTCCCCCTACGCACCCCCTTGTTCTCTCTCACATCATGGCCTCTGACCTCTTTTTCTTTAACTGTTGTTACGCACACACTCCTAAATATACAAACACAATCTGCTCAGTCTGTAGAATGTTTACTTGTATGGGTATAGCTTGACAAGCAAAATTAATTATCACAGGAACTGCAATCCTACAGCAATTTCATAGTTTGAAAATAATATATAAGGAAGCTATTTACTTAGGCTTCTTCAGAAATTCAGTGATAAATTTGTGAGATACACACTGACTTAAACACCCAAGCTAAGGCCATGAATGTGCTATGTAAAAATGAGTTTTATATGAACTCCCTGTATAAGACAACTTAGGAAATGGATCACATATCTGTCATTCAGGAATCTATAGAATACTGCCCAGTATAATTACAACTCCTTAAGTAAGGATGTCTGTGGAATAGAATTGTGTCTCAAAATCAAGCAGATTTTAAGTTCATACAAAGAGGAAAACGGGGGAAAAGGAACCTATGGGTGTTAGATATAATTGTAATGTTTCCAGAAGTAATGGTGTTCGTAGTTTCAGAATTAATACTAATATGGGAGTCTCAAACTTAAGTGCAAATCTGATGAAGATTTATTTTGAATTAAGAGGAAGGAGTTTTTCTTTCTCAGATTTAAGAAAAGACATGTTATAATCGCAATGCTGCTTTTGATGAGGGTTGACAGCATAGACCACATCTTAGTTCCATTGTGCTGCTATACCCAAGGCTGCAAAACTGCTAAAGAACTAATCGATTTCTTAGAATGCTGGAGGCTGGGAAGTCCAAGACCAAGACAGTAGCGTATGCGGTTGTCTGGTGAGAAATGTTCTCTGCTCCAAGATGCTTTCTTGCTGCTGTATCTATCAGAAGGGAACAATAAATACTGTATCCTTACATGGGGGAGGGGAGATAAAAGTCCAAATGCTATATGAAATATGTTTTATAAAGATCTAAATTTCTTCCAGGAGGAAGTATCCCACAGGCCTAATTAACTCTTAAAGATCCTATCTCTTTTTCTGTTCTTGTTTTTTCCCCCTTTTTGATTTTTTGAGACATGGTTCCTCTGTTAACGAAGAGCCCTGGCTGTCCTGAAACTCACTTTGTAGACCAAAATGGCTTCGAACTCACAGAGATCAGCCTGCTTCCAACTGACTCCCCAGTGTTGGGATTAAAGGCATGTCTCACCACTGCCTGGCCCAAGACTCTGTCTCCTAATGACATCACATTGGCCACTAAATGTCAGCAACTGAATTTTGAAGGAGACATAACCATAGAAGCCCAAAATTAATCCAATTATTAAAATATCAGCTTAATGTAGACGCTAAGAAACTAGGATGGTGCAAAGAGAAAAGCATTCATTCATCTGAGTAACCCATGGCATGCCGATGGAGCCAATGTAGGCATTAACAGCAAAAGAGGAACTCCTTGTTTTCATAGATGGGACATTTTATCAAGGGAAAAGGAGTCAGTTGTTTTAACATTTTTCTTTCTCAAATTTTTATTAGATTTAAAAGACACAATACTAACTTACAAAAGATATCAAAACCAAAATAAAAATTATGCCCATTGAAAGGAAACAGTTAAATGTGCACAAATGTGAGAAAATGGAATACGACAATATACTCAGTAAGAGATACACCCAGCAGGAAATTTGAACAGCAATTCTTAACCAAACATAATCAAGAATTTAAGATTTCTTAAATAAATGATTAGATGTAGATTCCTTCAATCATGAGTTTTGGTATTTTTAATAAAGCATAGATGCTAGTTATTGAGATTTTATTATACAGCTATTTTCTGGTGAAAGTAATTCTCTCCCTCTCATGGGTCCCTTTCCAGTTTCCTGGCATCCACCCTCCCTCACTCCTACAGCGACATACGTACAGTAAAAATTAGACGCTAAATTTGTCATTCTTGTCTGTCAATCTGCAAGTTGGGCAGTGATTGGTGTCTGTAATCTCAGCATCCAAGAGGCCTAGGAAGGGATGTTGGTTCAAGGCTAGCCTTTGTTATATAGCAAGACCCTCCCATTTTTGAATTGAGAATAATGAGTCAAAAGACACCTTACCCAGGCCACGAATGATGCCAGTGTAAGAGTTAAATCTATGCAGGGTTAATTTTCATCACTGAGAATGTTTTGGCCATTATGCTGCCCGGCAGCTTTTAACTAGTCTTTTGGCTCTTTTGTAAGCTGAAATACAAGAGCATAATGATACACTTTGTAGTCCCGGCACTTGGAAGGTGCAGGTAGGAGGACAGAAGTTCAAGGTCACCCGTGGTTATATAGTGAGTAGGAAGCTAGTCTGGCTACGTAAGACCCAGTTGAAGAAACATCCTCCCCCGCACCAAAATATATATATGGGCACGACACAGAACTGTCTGCAATCATGATCAGAAAAGTGTAAAAGATCGGCTAGAGAAGTAACGCGGTTATTTCTTTGCAACCACGCTTTCACAAGCAGCTCCAAAGCTGATGGTGAAAGGCGCGTTGATTTTTCAAACTCTTCTCTGAAGAGGCATCTCAGAGAGCTAACAGGAAAAAACATGCCAAATCCCACGAAACCTAAATCCCTTCCAAAGGACACAGCCTCAGAATCGCGCCACTTCGAGACCCAGACCAGGCAGCACTGCTAACTAATCACCTGAGGGCACCTTCCAGGGACTTAATTTAATGCCATCACCGTGTACAGAAACCTCAGACAGCCTCCTTTAGTTTCCTTGCCGGAGTCTCCGCCCTCCGCTGGTCACCAGAGTGCGTCAAAGGAGAGTAATCGTCAGAGGAAGGGAAAAAATGCCCACCACGCGAGATTTCGTGGCGGGATTTCGAAGTTGGAGACCGGCCGCGGCGCGTGCGCAGTGGTCTCACAACCTCGGGGTGGCACGCGGGGAGGTAGGCTGAGACATCTGAGCCGGGGAAGCCGGCGTGCTGGTGCTGCTTCTTTTTTCTCTTGCCGCTACTCTCTCAGTGTGTGGGTCTTAGAGTCCAAGGAGGCGCGGAGTAGCGGGGCTCAACTCCGTTGGTGTGTGCGCCCGGTGTAATAAAAAAGCCCTCACGTTCCCACACTAGTTGGAGCGGTGCGGCCAGTGTGGCAACAGGGATCGTTGCTCCCGGTCCCCCTGTGACCATAACCCCCAGGCACACACTCCCGTCCCCCGAGATTCGGCCTCGAGCGTCCCTCACACAGGTCCGCCCCTCCCCGCCGCCGCCTCGATTACTCGCGGCCAGTTTGCCGGCTTCGTCCCTGGGGGGCGTCCCCACACTGAAGCAGAGAAGATGGCTGGAGGACGTCTGCTGCTGGGGGGCGACTTCCTGTCGCCGCCGCCTCTGCCCCCCCTCCCGCCGCCGCCGCTGCCGCCCCTCCCGCCACCCCCGCCTGAGCCAGTGCTGGAGCAGTGGCGCTATAGCCACGAAAGTGACTGGCAGTGGGCTCTGCGGCGGAGCTTCATCTGTCGGCACCTGCACAGCTATCCCGGCGCTGCCCTCGACCAGCTCCTCGCGCTCTCCGCCGCCTGGACCAACCACGTTTTCCTGGGCTGCAGGTGAGCCTGGTGTGGGGCGATCGAGTTAGGGACAAGGGTGGGAGATGGGTGACGAGGGTCGGCTTGGGGATGAGGGTGAGGGACGGATGGTGGAGTTTGGGTTACGGGACAGCCCAAGGAAGGAGAGGGTCAGCAGAAGCGGTCCAGATAGGAACAGGGGCAGGATGCGGATGATGATAGCTTGGAGGCTTAAGATTTGAAGATTTGCTAGCGAACACCAAGAAGCTTCACTAGTAGGTTGGGGGGTAGGGTGGGTGACCGTGGTGGCAGGCAATGAATGACTTGACAGCACATGAGAGCACAGAGATGCCCCTCCAGGACCAGAAATGGAGATGAGGTAGCTCCTAGAAGAGGATTATTGAGAGTTAGTCGTGGTGATTGGTGTTCAGTAGCAGAACCTCAGACCTGCATAGGGGCTTCCAAGGATGCGGCATCCGCAGAGGATATTCGATGGGGCTTCAAGGGGAGGGCAAACTCCGCAGCTCAAATCCTAGTCTCCCGGCCACTCTCTTCCATCTCCACTAGATTAAACACCCTCCTCTCCTTGCACACCCCCCCCCCAAGCCGGGTCTTAGAGTCTTCTCCTGGGGAGGCGGTGTGTCAGGTCTCTGAGCTGCAGTGATTTGCGCATAATGTACTCAAACAAAGAAGTGAATCTATCTGCTGTAAAAATGCATTGCCCTCTTTTCACCTTAAATGGGCTAAGAAGAATTAACATTTCACCTCTGGATGAGGTCTTAGGGGTGTATATGTGTCTTTCTCTGTTTCCTTCTTTCCTAGAATCTGGTGGCTTCTGAACAGGCCTCTTGGAAAGCACTTTGTGTTCTGGGGAGACTGCGGTATGGTTTCAACGCAGTTTTGGTTTTGTGTGTGTGTTTAACAGGGTACTTGGGTCCTCTGTCCTTCAGAACCTCGAAATTGGCCTTATCCTAGACTAATTCCTTTAGTAGTCTGGAGAGCGTCTTTTTTATATTCCTGCCGAACAGTCAATTTGTTTTTATTAGGAAGATGAGAAATTCTGGAAAATGATCAGATTCGATTCAGCCAGATCAGTTCTAGGAATAACTGTAAACAACGCAGAAGAAATTGTCTGCTCCTACCTTAATTGTTGAACATGGCACCCAGTGTGAAACTTTGCTTTGCCCTGTCACAGAGTTTATTTTTTCTCTCTTCTCTAAGTTAACATAATTTCTGCCTCTAGAGATAGTGATCATTTCACTGGAGGAGCTGGGAAAGCCTCAACAATTAGTCATCAGATAAATCTGATTTCCCTAGCGATGTTCTTGCAGTAAAAAAAGGTACCTTTATCATATAGTCCTAAGTCTTAATACCACAAAAGGCTACAGGGAATCAGAATCCTAAAGCATCTTTAATGGAGGAGGCTAACCATCCTTTGTGTTCATAACTAAACTTACCTTCCTGCTAGAATATAAATTGGGGGGGGGGTAGGACTTTACTCTCTTTTTCATATGCTCATCTTTGTCTTCACTGCCTAGCAGAAATCTTGTGCAGTATTCTGCTTTAGCATAATAGCTGCTCAGTAAATGTCTGGGCAGTGGTAGATGTAGACAGCTTTGTGGTATATAGCATATTTTCAACCCTTTCCATCTTATTCACCATCCTAGAGGTTAGGAGGTATCTCCCTTTTACAGCTAAATCAATGAAGGCCAAGAAGTTAAGTTACTGTGCAAGGTCTCGCAACTATTTCTAGTCTGTTGCTCCCTCCACTGAGACACGACTGCCATGTTTAGGAAGGATGGGCCACAAACAAAAGCAAGTGACTGACATAAGTCAAATCTCTCAATCTCAGGCGTCTATCCCGTGAATAGCAGCTTCATGCCTAACCAGCGTATGAACACAAACCAAGCGGATGGTAGTTGACCTTAAAAGCTCAAACACCCAGGATGTGTGTGTGCATATCTGCAAATCCTTTGTTTAGAAGTCAGCGTGTTGCAGTATGCCTACATTACTACAACAATTACAATAGAGCTATGAAATAGATAAACTGGAAAGAACTGTTTGCATTTTATCTGACTTTGACATAGAACTGGAAGAGCCCAAGACAACTTTGGAAGTTAGCAACTTAGTATGGTCTTCACCTTTAGGCTTTTTGTTAGCGCTTTCCTTGGGTGCATAAAATCTATGTTCTCAAACTTGGCAGGGTTATTTTTGTTTTGTGTGACAGACTGCTCTCTCTCTCTCTCTCTCTCTCTCTTTGATTTTTTGAGATAGGGTTTCTCTGTGTAGCTTTGGGGCCTGTTCTGGAGCTTGCTCTGTAGACCAGGCTGGCCTCGAACTCACAGAGATCCGCCTGTCTCTGTCTCCTGAGTGCTGGGATTAAAGGCGTGTGCCGCCGCCGTCACCACCACCCGGCTCAGACTGCTTTTTTCTAAGTAAATTGCATAAGTGTGGTGAGACAGCCCTTTGTAAACTCAAATTGTTAATTAGTTGTTCAAGGGATTCCATTTGATTAGGAGATGGGATAAAAAAGAATATCTGAAAATTCTATCACCTAGAGCAAGAAGAACTCATGTGCCAGGGATTCAGACCATGTTTCATTCCTTTTAGTGATAGTGGCCATTTCCATGGGACAGATTTGAATGTGTGTGTGTGTGTGTGTGTGTGTGTGTGTGTGCGCGCGCGCGCAAGCATGCATGCATGCAGGTGTTTCTGTGGTGAGTAGCCTTGACTGTGAGGCCAGAGATCAGGTTGGGTGTCAACTCTATCACTGTCTTCTTGTTTGAGAAAAATTCATGGAATCTCAAGCTCACTGGTTAGCTTAGACTGACTAGTCTCTGAGACTCTGGGATCTGTCTGTCTCCTTTACGAATAATGTGATTATAAATGGTGCAGTGTGTCACCTTGCCCTGGTTTTACATGGGTGCTGGGGATTAAAACTCAGGTCCTCTTCTGTAGCAAGCATTGAACCATCTCCCCAGTCCTTTAATATCCTCTTGACTCTATAATTCTGGTTCTTACACATAAGCATGCAGCAAAACACCTGTTTTGGATACTGCGTGTGCTAGCACAAGACTTTAATCCTTGTACTCAGGACCTGAGAGTGAAGCAGGATGGTGAGTTTAGGTTGCCTGGACTATATAAAGATACCCTGTTTAAAATAATGACAACAGTAATAATTACCTGTTAGGTTTATTAAAAGACAGGTTCCTGGCCCCCTACTCCAAGACTTCCAAATCAGACGGTGTGAAGAAGGGCCTTCTGTCAGGTTACCAAATGATGCTTATACTTTGACTTGAGGACCAGCGTGAAATTCTATTTTATAGGATGAATAAAGTTTTGCGATCTACATTTTAGTGAGACAAAGTATCATGCAGCCCAGACTGTCCTTGAACTTGCCACATAGCTGAGGATAATCTTCAAGTTCAGCTTTTCTTGCCTCTACCTCCTGAGTGCTGAAATCATGGGGTGCCCTGCCATGTCCGGTTTATCTGGTGCTAAGGATTGAACCTAGGGCTTCGTGAATGCTGGCCAAGCACTCTGTCAGTTGAGCTGTGTCTCCAGCCCTCCACTCTACTTTTGAATAATCTTTCTTCATCCAGGTAACCAAGAAGGTCAAAGCTCCCTTCATTCACTTTTTCTGTTTTATAAAAGCAAGCCACCTATCAAGAGATGTCACTTGATGTGATGGCCCATGCCTGTAATCCCAGAATTTAGGAGTCTGAGAAATTTCTAAAGCAGGTCAAACTGTTAGTCTTGTGGCTAATGCAAACTTATAGTCCTTTGATCGGCTACATATATGACACTTAAATAATTGTGCATATGAAGGCCTAGCATGTCTGTACAGCTTTTACTTACAGATTATAGCTAGTGTGTTTACTACTGTATTTGTTTTGCATGACTGAGTGGTAGAATTTATAGTCTCATGCCTGTTAGCCAAAAACTATACCACTGAGATCCACCCATGGCCATTTAAAAAGGCACAAGTCAGCCAGGCAGTGGTGGCCTTTAATCCCAGCACTCGGGAGGCAGAGGCAGGTGGATCTCTGTGAGTTTGAGGCCAGCCTGGTCTACGAGAGCTAGTTCCAGGACAAGCCCCAAAGCTACAGAGAAACCCTGTTTCGAAAAACAAAAAGAAAGAAAGAAAGAAAGAAAGAAAGAAAGAAAGCAGGCACAATGTCCAGATTACCTGGCATATTCAGTTTCCCAGTCTTAATCCATAGTATTTAGAAGCAGTTCTGGCATACAAATCCTGGCTTGCTTATTTTTGTTAACCTATTAATAGAGAAATGACATGAAATCAACTTAG